ACGACAACCAAGACTTTAGACTGAACTGACCAAGACTGTAGACTGTAGACCTGAACCAAGACTGTAGACCTGAACCAAGACTTTAGACCTGAACCAAGACTTTAGACCTGAACCAAGACTTTAGACCTGAACCAAGACTGTAGACCTGAACCAAGACTGTAGACCTGAACCAAGACTGTAGACCTGAACCAAGACTTTATTCTCTGGTCTTTGTTGTGCTGAAGTGTTCTTTTTATGATCCGGACACAGTAAAAATAAAATAAATATGACACTTTTAGTCAAAGAGCTCAAATGTGTGAGATAAACGGACAGATCAGCTGATTTTGGTCGTCCACGTCGTCTGAACTCACTGACCTCGTTTCCTCGGAGGTGGTAGCCGTACTCCGACAGCAGGTTGGACACTTTCTGCACGTTGACGGCGTCGTTGAACGGCGTGGCGTCTCCGATCTCGCCTTTGTTCGCCGACACCTGAGACACGGCAGGGACAGAACACGGACTGTATGAGCAAGTGGACTGAGGGAGAGTGACGTCGAATCCGGAGCCAGCAATTTATTTACGGACAAAATAGAGAAATAAAAAGCCCAGGATCATGTAGAGCGAGTTAATACGAACATTTAAAGAAAAGCTGATGAGCCTGTCTGCAGCAGTTACAGTTTTATAAAGTGAACTGGAGTCGATGGAGCCAAATCACTCCCATGTTCACTTCCTTTTGCAGCGGCAGGCAGGTTTGTTATGTCCACTTCTACCGTTTAGGGACAAAATAAATGTGCATTTGTGGGTTAAAGGGAAATCTAATGAAAGTTTGTATATAAAAATGCAAAGAAATGTCTGATTAAATGGACTTTAAATATTCAGAAATAAACCTCCTAAATACAAAACTGAAGAAAAACGATGATTCTTAAAACAGGGTTCCCGCTCTTTTTCACTGACGGAATTTCAAAACTTTTCCATGACTTTTCCATGAGCTAAAGTGAATTTTCCATGACTTTACGGCTCCTACATGTGTAGAATGGAGTATATTTTTAGGGCTAATGCTGCGTTTATATAACGACGTCTGAACAGAAGACGCAAAAGTGGCGTCGCGTCTTCACTTTTTATTCCGTGTTTAGACGTTTTCAGGAGGGAATCTGCGTGCATACGGTGATGCAAAAGTGTGGAATTTGACAGGATATGCAGGCCAGGCGGCTCGGTGGTGATATATATGACGTAAACGCGTACATGGAGCGTGTTCAACTTTTCCACTCTGGAGGGTGGTTTTAGATTTGAGTGTTTTTAAGATAAAAAAAAACAACAAAAAAAACCAAAACGGCGTCACCGTCTAAACGAAACGCACACGCATGTACCTGCAAGTGTTCTCATGTAAACAGGCCCTTAATATGAAATGTTTAACTCTTTCCACTCACCTTATGGTTTGCGATTATAGTTTTTAACATTCCAAATCCTGTCAGTGCATTTATTTATTGTCGTCTCTTTTAAACAAAAGGCGCAGAACGTTCACAAATAATCAGAACAGCCTCATGAAAACTTAATAGAAAGCTGGAGTTGTGTGAAAGAGATACTCAAATTCCATGACTTTTATAAAACTTTCATTGAATTTACAAAATTCCATGATTTTTCCAGGCCTGGAAAATGACATTTTCAATTTCCAAGATTTTTTTCAGGATTTCCATGACCGTGGGAACCCTGTTAAAATCTCAGAGCCCCCCCAACTTAGCCCAAAGTTTTTGACTCGTGGGCCACAAAGGGTTCTAAAATTTGACAGAGGGGCCGGACCAGGAGCAGATGGATGGAGTTTTTTGGTAATCCACCTCATACGAGAAAAAAATAGCATAAGATATGTAGAAAATATGTCCCATGCTATTGAAATATGCCTTAATTGAAAATCATTAAAACAGGATTACTTAAATATCTGTCTTTCAAGTCCCACAGTATTTACTACTTATTGACATAACTTTTAAAACACTGACAATTATTATTATTATTATTATTCAAGTTCGTCAGGCCGGATTAAAAAGATTAAAGGTCCGTATATGGTCCCCGGGCCGTAGTTTGCCCATGCTTGGGTTAGAACAGGGGAGGGCAAACTACGGCCCGGGGGCCATATGCGGCCCTTTAAACCTTTTAATCCGGCCCGCTGAACTTGAATAAATTACACTAATAAACCTTGTTGATGTTTTATTTTTCCGGCATTTCCCAGTAGGCGGCGCACTATATATACATTGAGGTGCGGCGTATTATGTTGGCCGCAATGCTTTATGGGAAAGTGTTCTTACAGGAGTCATTTTCGGGCGGCGTATTCGGACCATGAGTGAAGTAGAAGTGTTCAAGACATAAGGCTGCACTGTTTCCATTTTGAGTGAATTAAAAGCAAAGTTGAAAGAATTATAGACGCTTTGTTACAAATGTAATGCATGGAATGCCTTAAGAGTCTGGTTTTACTGCATGCATAGGTGTTTACGTGTGTAATCTTGTATTGTGGGCTCTGTTTCTCAATGAGATCTAACCGCTCAGGACTCACGCTCGCCTGTGGTGTGCAGTGGAGCAGATCTATTCACTTTTCATGTGTTTGTAACTTACGCGTCAAAGTTGTAGTGCAGAATACGTCCTACATGAGCGTAAATACGAGTGCAATGGAGCCGAGCTTTTAACACGTCATGTCCTGTCTCCTGTCCGGCCCTTCAGTCAAATTTTAGGACCCTATGTGGCCCGCGAGCCACCCCTGGGTTAGAACCATAGAGAGAGTGAACAGCGCCCCCTGTGGCCGTACCTTCCCCTGCAGACACTCGATCAGATGGCCCACAGTCATTCTGGAGGGGATGGCGTGAGGGTTGATGATGATGTCTGGAGTGATGCCCTCACACGTGAACGGCATGTCCTGAAAACGAGATATTTAAATATCATTATCTAGAATATAATACAGTCTAAAGCGTACAGGCCTGAACATGTTATAATAAAGATGTGAGCTTTATTAAATCACGTACCTCTTGTCTGTACTGGATCCCGCAGGTTCCCTTCTGTCCGTGTCGACTGGCAAATTTGTCTCCGATCTGAGGAATCCTGACGGAACGAACCTGGAACAGCACAAACCAGATCAGAACCAGGACTGAACCAGGGGCTAATATTTTAGATTGGATTCTTGTGTATGGTGGCGGTCTTTCTAGCGTGTTCTCGTGGTTTTAAAAGTGTCTCACCCTGATCTTGCAGAACTTGTAGCCCTCCTGGTTGAGCGTGACCATGACCTGGTCCACGATGCCGGTCTCGGACGTGCGCAGGAAGGTGCTGCAGTCTCGTTTGGTGTAGCGGCGGTTGGTGGAGTCCAGCTCGTCCTCGTTCTCGGGGAGAGTCACCGTCTTCCCGATGATCACGTCCTCCCCGGAGACGCGCACGCCCGGAGCGATCAGCCCGTCGTCGTCCAGTTTGTCGTAGATCGCGTGTCTCATACCTGCACAGAGAAACAAGATTCACCTACTACTACTATTACTACTACTACTACTACTACTACTACTACTACTACTACTACTACTACTACTACTAACAAAACAAAAGTACTACTAATATTTCCTGGTTTATATTGATGCATGAGTTGGTAAAGCTCAGTGTTCCTCACCCTGGCAGGTTTCTCGTGTCGGCTTCTCAAAAATCTCCTCTTGGTCGAATCCTTTTTTTGACTCCTGCTCTTTGTACGAGCGATAGAACACAGACCTGCAGCACAGACCAGAGTTAGACCACAGACCACAGACCACAGACCAGAGACCAGGGACCAGGGTCGGGCCAGGGTTAGGCCAGGATTTAACCAGGTTTAGACCAGGGATAAAGACCAGGATAGAGACCAGAGTTAGACCAGGTTTAGACCAGGTTAAGAGCAGGTTAAAACCCTCACGCTCTCCTCAGGGTCACGTAGACCCGAAGTATTTTTTTTTTTTTTACCAGCTCTCTTGGGGCGGGTCAATCAAACCCAAAAATGTATTTTCTCGCCTGGAGAATTTATTTGAAAATACATTTTTGGGTCCGATTGACCCGCCCCCAAGACAGCGGGAAGGAAAAAAAATTTCTTCAGGTCAATGTGACCCTGAGGAGAGAGTGTTAAGACCAGGGTCAGACCAGGGTGAGGCCAGAGTTAGGCCAGAGTTAGGCCAGAGTTAGGCCAGAGTTAGGCCAGAGTTAGGCCAGGGATTGACCAGGGTTAGACCAGAGACCAGTAACTGGAGTTAGACTAACGTTAGACCAACGTTAGGCCAACGTTAGACCAAAGACCAGGGTCAGACCAGGGTTTGAGACCAGGGTTAGACCAGAGACCAGAGCATGTCACTTTTTGGTTTGGGGTCAGTCACCTGCTTGTTTCTATGGAGACGTCACTGCTCTGCCTGGAATGTTCCACAGTGTGACATTAAACAGCTCTGCTTTACATTTATTCAATTACAGGTCTTCTAACAGCTCAAAAACACCTCAAAAACAGGTGTTCTGACTGTGAGCGGGGTCACCTCTCCACAGATCTGACCTGTAACTTGGTCTGGTTTGGTCTCCGTGAAGATAGAAATGTTTAATGCCACACTGTGGAACATTCCAGACTAGGGATGGGCATGATTAATCGATTAATCGATAATTGATCATTAAGAATTTCATCGATTACGTTCATTTTAATCGACAAACCGAATGTAGGTTGCTGTGCGTGGCGTGACCAAAGAGGGTCCGTACATGTGTCTCTGCACTCAGAAGGAGCGAGCAAACAGTGGGTCAGTCTGCAACGCAAATCGTATTTAACGATGACTTGTACAAGACATTCAACGCTTTCAGTTGCGTTCGGGACAAGTGTGAGTCCATGTGCACAGTGTATAAAGCAGCACATATGTTTCTGTGTCCAGTGGGAAAAAGTTTTTCCAGGTGAGAGTCGCGCAATGTCAATGACGAGTCCCCACCTCCCTCCCCCCGTACGGTGTCCTGGTTTTGACAAACGCAAATCTGGTCACACTAACCTGTATTCACCTGAGTCATGTCTTTTAATCCAACACAAGTTGAACCACATCAGTGACACAAGAGCTGGAGTTTTATCTTTGCTTAGTTTATGTAAATTAGTGATGTGGTTTTAAGTTTCGTTTTTGTGAGATTTGTGCAAAACTGCGTTAAACACATTATAATGTCAAACGGGCTGATGTGGATCTAGAGTCGTTACGGTTTATATGTCGTAAAGTTGAAATTATGTATGCAGATTAATAGTGCAGATAGTAATAATAATGATGATCATTTTAATATAAACACGTTAATGATTAATCGGTAATCGATCGTTAATTCTTCCGACGATCGATTAAGAAAATTTCATCGAATGCCCGTCCCTATTCCAGACAAAGTAATAGCATCTAGTCCAGTCAAGTGTAAATGAGTGGAGACCTGAAGAATCCTCTGTCCACGGCGGAGCGGTTCATGATGACAGAGTCCTCCTGGTTGTATCCGGTGTACGACGCGATGGCCACGATGGCGTTAATGCCTGAAGGAAAACAACAACACTTTAGATTTAGACAAACTTTTATTGATCCACCAGGGAAATGATCTCGATTTATCTCTATAAAACTGTCACTGTGAAAACAACTGAAGCTAAATCAATAGAACAAGAACAAAATCCTGCTGCTGAGGTCAGTTCAACCTAATCCTTTTAATTAAGCTTTTTATTTGTTTGTGTGTGTGTTTGTTAGTTTGTGTGGTTAGAGTGACACCTGCTGGCAGCTCTCTGAAGCGCAGATACTCCATGGACCTGGTGGTGACCAGGGGTTTTCAGGTAGTAGTAGTAGAGGAGTGGCAGTAAGTAGTAGTAGCAGTGTTGTTGTAGTGTAGTACGCAGTAGTAGACAGTAATAGTTCAGTAGTACAGTAGCACACTGCAGTAAGTAGTAAGTACATAGTAACAGTAAAGTAGTAACAGTATACTTAAGTCAGTAGTATTCAGTAGTATTCAGTAGTAGTCAGTTAGTAGTAGTAGTTAGTAGTAATAGTAGTATCAGTAGTATTCAGTAGTATTCAGTATACTATAGTACAGTAAAGTCAGTAGTTAGCAGTAGTACTAGTAGTAGTAGTAGTAGTAGTATCAGTAGTAGTAGTAGTATTAGTAGTATAGCAGTAGTACAGTAGTATAGTAGGATGTAGTAGTCAGTAGTATCAGTAGTATAGCAGTAGTAGCAAGTAGTAGTTGCAGTAGTAGTAGTAGTAGTAGTAGTGCAGTAGTAGTAGTAGTAGTAGTAGTAGTACAGTAGTATCAGTAGTAGTCAGTAGTAGTAGTAGTACATAGTAGTAGTAGTAGTCAGTAGTATTGTAGTAGTAACAGTAGTATCAGTAGTAGTAGTGTCAGTAGTATCAGTAGTAGTACAGTAGTATCAGTAGTAGTAGTATCAGTAGTAGTAGTACAGTAGTATCAGTAGTAGTAGTCAGTTAGTAGTAGTAGTAGTAGTATCAGTAGTATCAGTAGTAGTAGTATCAGTAGTATCAGTAGTATCAGTAGTAGTCAGTAGTAGTAGTAGTATCAGTAGTATCAGTAGTAGTAGTAGTAGTATCAGTAGTATCAGTAGTATCAGTAGTAGTATAGTAGTATCAGTAGTATCAGTAGTATCAGTAGTATCAGTAGTATCAGTATCAGTATCAGTAGTACAGTATCAGTAGTATCAGTAGTAGTATCAGTAGTATCAGTAGTATCAGTAGTATCAGTAGTATCAGTTAGTAGTATTAGTATCAGTAGTATCAGTAGTATCAGTAGTATCATTAGTATCAGTAGTATCAGTAGTATCAGTAGTATCAGTATCATTAGTATCAGTAGTATCATTAGTATCAGTAGTATCAGTAGTATCAGTAGTATCAGTAGTATCAGTAGTATCATTAGTATCAGTAGTATCAGTAGTATCATTAGTATCAGTAGTATCAGTAGTATATCAGTAGTAGTCAGTAGTATCAGTAGTATCAGTAGTATCAGTATCAGTAGTATCAGTAGTATCAGTAGTATCAGTAGTATCAGTAGTATCAGTAGTATCAGTATATCAGTAGTATCAGTAGTATCAGTAGTATCAGTAGTCAGTATCAGTATCAGCAGTATCAGTAGTATCATCAGTATCAGTATCATTAGTAGTCATCAGTAGTAGTAGTATCAGTAGTATCAGTAGTATCAGTATCAGTATCAGTAGTAGTATCAGTAGTATCAGTAGTATCAGTAGTATCAGTAGTAGTATATCAGTATCAGTATCAGTAGTATCAGTAGTATCAGTAGTATCAGTATCAGTATCAGTAGTATCAGTAGTCAGTAGTATCAGTATCATAGTAGTAGTATCAGTAGTATCAGCAGTATCAGCAGTATCAGTAGTATCAGTAGTATCAGTAGTATCAGTAGTATCAGTATCAGTATCAGTAGTATCAGTAGTATCAGTAGTATCAGTAGTATCAGTAGTATCAGTAGTATCAGTATCAGTAGTATCAGTAGTATCAGTAGTATCAGTAGTAGTATCAGTAGTATCAGTATCAGTATCAGTAGTATCAGTAGTATCAGTAGTATCAGTATCAGTATCAGTAGTATCAGTATCAGTAGTAGTCAGTAGTATCAGTCAGTAGTATCAGTAGTAGTCAGTAGTAGTATCAGTAGTATCAGTAGTATCAGTAGTATCAGTAGTCAGTAGTATCAGTATCAGTATCAGTAGTATCAGTAGTATCAGTAGTATCAGTAGTAGTAGTAGTATCAGTAGTATCAGTAGTATCATCAGTATCAGTAGTAGTCAGTAGTATCAGTAGTATCAGTAGTATCAGTAGTATCAGTAGTATCAGTAGTATCAGTAGTATCAGTAGTATCAGTAGTAGTAGTAGTATCAGTAGTATCAGTAGTATCAGTAGTATCAGCAGTATCAGTAGTATCAGTAGTATCAGTAGTATCAGTAGTATCAGTAGTATCAGCAGTATCAGTAGTATCAGTAGTATCAGTAGTATCAGTAGTATCAGTAGTATCAGCAGTATCAGTAGTACTGTTGTAGTAGTGGAGAGGTGAGTACCTGGTTGTGGTCGGGGAAGGGGATGATGGAGGCGCACACTCCCAGGATCATGGACGGGTGGATCTCACAGTGGGTGTAGGTGGAGCAGTAGGCCACGCCCTTCTCCTGGAGGTCGTCGGGGGTCATGGCCAACATCACCGTCTCCTCCTCCAGAGTGTCGATGTACTCCACCACCCCGGACGCCACCAGGTCCTGCCAACTGACAACAACGAGACCAACTTAGACCAACAAGACCAACACCACATCACGTCAGTATAAAGACAGAGGTGCAGAGCTGAGCTGGTGCGGAGCCTGAGTTAAGATTTTGATCAGTTCTGTCTCAGTCTGAACGAGTCTGTCTGCACATTATTGATGAGTGCTGCAGTGTGAGTGTGTGGGCAGTGATAAAACGCCGTGATAAACCCTCTGTCACGTAGAATCACTTAGAAACAGAGGTTTTATATTATTGCAGACAGAGGTTTTATATTCCACCCTATGCAGTGTTCTCCTCATTTTAGAGTGAAAAAGGTTTTGTGGCTCTGGTTGTTTTTGTTTTTCTTTTCTGTGGAGACGCTCAAATGGCTTTTTGCTGACCCCTGATCCAGATTTACATTAAAAACTATTGAAGCAGTGACCACGTGTGCTGCTTTTTCTAATGAATTTAAGGCTACAATTTATTAAACTAAACCTGTTCAAATGTGCAAAGAATAAAATGAAGAATAGTCTGGTAAGAGAAAATGTACAGAAGAGTAGTTTGTTTATGTAACAGACAGTAGGAGGAAGTGTCTTTACAGTCGTACCTGTAGTTGTTGTATTCTCGCTCTTTGAGTTGGTCGATGTGGCGTCGCTTCAGTAACAGCTTCTGCTTCTCCACGATGAGCAGCGGGCGACAGATGCGCCCGGCGTCCGTGTAGATCCGGATCTCGCGCTCTCGAATGTCTCTGATCATGGACACCTGGACACGAGAGGAGAAGACGACGACGTTTAAAAGTGACTGAAGAAGCGTCGGGTGTTTCCTGAACTGTCTTCGTTTTACTGTTTGATACAAAAGTAGAAAAAGACTAAAAGATAATCCCAGTATTTAAACTGAGTGTGCATGAAGTAAATCTGTGTGTATTGTGACTCTATTGCTTCAAAATGAGCTCTGGGGTGAGTTTTGTGTGTTTATTTCTCCGTACCCGCCTCATTCCCTCTTATATATTTTTGTACTACTATATTTCTATATTTTCTTTTTACTTGTACATTTACATTTATATAATCATACCTTATTTGACAACGGTCTTTTGTTATTTTTGCTACTGATTTAGAATTTATTATTACCATTTATATTCTTGCTCTTGCTGCTTGTGAGATACTGTCATAAACACAAATAATTTCCCTTGTGGACCAGTAAAGTTTGCCCAAGTTTGAGATATGTCCTTACCACTGATACTATATACACTTAAACCCAATTTATGGTCGTGCGTCAGATCGTCTACGTCGCCTTGAATCCCCTCTGCAGAGCGTCTGCGTTGACCGACATACCCCTCCGAAATTTTGTAACTATGCGTCAAACCGACGCAGATGGCAAAGGCTCTACATTCACTCTACAGACATTTCCAGTACTCCGCTTTCCCGCTTCATTTTGTCAACACGAACGCCATTTCTAAATCCTCGCCTCCTGGAGTTGTGGCGGTGAATTATTTCGCGGCGCAGACCTCGACGCAGATCCACAAATCAAAAACGACAGCAACAAGGTGACGGCGGCAGAGTGTGCCTTTATGGTATGGTTTGGTCACTCCAATGGTGATATTAAAAAAAAAAAAAAAAAAAAGTGAACCAGGTGATTATGTAAAACAGTTGGGGTAGGACTCCATAAGTTTTTTTTTTTAACTTCATCCTCCTCCTTTTGAGCACCAGGTCCCAAATATGTTCATGTACATGTCACTATTTTTGTTATTGTTTGTGAATTTTGTTGTACCTGCCTCAAACAAATAAATAAATGAAATGAAATGGTGTCCTTACTGCTGATACTATATGCCCTTACAACAGGGTCTCCAACCTGTAGTTCAGGAGCTACCAGTAACTCTCCACCCTCTTAAAACAAGCTCACCAAAGGATTTTGGAATTACACCATTGTGCTGAATAACAAATAAATAAAAAATGGTTAATTATTTGCCTTTGTTCATTTTGAAGTCCAAGTTTGTGCACTAATAAATGGACAGTGGTTTATGTTTCATGGCATCTAACTGCACTCAAAAGGCTCAACCTCTTTCTTTTAATCGTCTCAATTTCTTGCTGCCGCTAAAATGAGAAGCTCTCTGGCATTTTTGTTTTGTAAAAGAGCTCACCGGAGGAAAAAAGTTGGAGACTCCCGCCTTACAGTGTCCTTACCGCTGATACTATATGTCCTTACCTCTGATACGATGATGTCCATCTGTCTCCTCAGTTTCCTCAGCGTGTTCATGAGCTGCTCTGGGTCCTTGTGGATTCCGACCCAACAGCCGTTCACAAAGATCTTGGTGGCACTGGAAGAAAAACATCCAAGCGCTCAGTAAAAGTCTCACACAGAAGGAACGAAAAAAACAAAAAACAAAACACGACTCCAGGTGTGTGAAAAGGCCCTTTAAATGTGTCTTCGTTTCTCATCGGTGGGTCTTACTCTGCGATGGCGGCGGGCGAGATCTCCTCCAGGTTCTCCATGCTCCACTCCTCCAGAAACTCCAGGATGGGGCTGGGCTGGGACCCGACGGAGATGTACGCCATGAGGGCCAAGTTCTTCACCAGACCCACAGCATGACCCTGAAAACAACGACAACAGAACTGCTTAAAACGAGTTTAAAAAAAAAAGAAAAATGAGTAAAGATGTGACATTTTTGTTGAGTAGTTGTAGTTGTGTATAAAGACGAGTAATAAAAAGTCCAGTTTTGGTAATGGTCAATATTGATAGTTAATACAGATACTCAGTTTTGTTATATTTTTACAAAAGAGAAAAGTTAGGTTACATTTGTAGGTCTTGTTCTGGGTTTTAAAAGTTAAATATCGGTCAAAATAAGTCAATAAATCCATATCGATCGATCCCTCATCGTGTAGTGACTGTTTTAACATTTAACAACTAAAATCCATTTTTCTTTTTTTATCGAGTCAAAATGAGCACTGGTTTGGTCCTGGTTTGGTCTGGTTTGGTCCTGGTTTGGTCCTGGTCTAGTCCAGGTCTAGTCCAGGTCTAGTCCAGGTCTAGTCCAGGTCTAGTCCAGGTCTAGTCCTGCTTTAGTCCTGGTCTAGTCCTGCTTTAGTCCTGCTTTAGTCCTGGTGTGGCTTTGGTACAGTCTTGGTTTAGTCCAGGTTTAGTCCAGGTTGTGTCCTGGTTGTGTCCTGGTTGTGTCCTGGTTGTCCTGGTTTGCGTCCTGGTGTGGTCCTGGTTTAGTCTTGGTTTAGTCCTGGTTTTCGTCCTGATTGGGTTCTGGTACAGTCCTGGTCTCGTCCTGGTACAGTCCTGGTATAATCCTGGTGTAGTCCTGGATTAGTCCTGGTTTAGTCCTAGTATAGTCCTGGTTTGGCTCTAGTAAAGACCTGGTTTTCATCCCGATTTTTGTCCTGATTTTCATCCTGGTTTTTATCCTGATTGGGTCCTGGTTCAGTCCTGGTCCAGTCCTTGTTCAGTCCTGGTCCAGTCCTTGTTCAGTCCTGGTTCAGTCCTTGTTCAGTCCTTGTTCAGTCCTTGTTCAGTCCTGGTTTGACTCTGGTTTAGTCCCGGTTCTGTACCTCGGGCGTCTCTGCGGGACACACCATCCCCCACAGCGTGTTGTGGAGCTGTCGGGGTTTGGCCAGTTTTCCGTCTCGTCCGATCGGGGAGTTCACTCTCCTCAGGTGAGACAAGGTGGAGGCGAAGGTCAGACGGTTCAACACCTGAACAAAAAAAAACAACACCACCAGGAGGGTCTGTCACGAGGCGATACGATACTCAACAAACTAAATTTCATACCGCTTAAAATTAATTTATCAGTCCGTCAATTGTTTTAGTTTTTTTGTTAGGAAAAAGATGATCTCACAACTAATTCTTCCCATTTTAGATTACTGTGATATTATTTATCAAAATACTACAACTTCTATTCTCCAACCACTCAACGTTTTCTAGAACAGTCTTATTTATCTTTAAATTCATTAATCTTAGTTTTTCTGAAGATCTCAAACAGTATTTAATTCCATTCAGATCCTCTTACAGTTCACGTCACGCAGATCAGATATTTTTTGTCGTCCCAAGAGTCAAAAAACAAACAGGAAAATACTCATTTAAATATAAAGCTCCTTCTGATTGGAACAATCTTCCCTCATCGATTCGTGCATCAACTTCTGTCCCTTCATTTAAAAATGCTCTGGTTCAATATTTACAGAACCCATGTCATTGTTTTTGATCATTTTGTTGAATTTTTGTTGTTCATCTTGTGATTATCTTTGAACTCTGTTTTTGGTAACACTTTATAATAACTACACCTTACTTAGTATTAATAAAGCATGAACAAAGACTTAATTAATAATGAACAAAGATTAATAAAGCTTAATAAAGCATAATTCGTCTTCAGTTTAGAAAAGCTCTCAAAAAGACTTAACAGATAACAGCTGCCTGAATTATCATTACATTGTATTATTAGTAAATCATTCTCTCATAGCTTATTAATGATTAATAAATGCTCAAATGGTTAGTGCATGAGTAATTAAGTATGAAATAATTATGAGTAACTATTTACAGCACAGGCAAATTAAGTGCAAGTGCTAATTCAGGTAGAAATTAAGTAGTTACTAAGCGTGAATCATTATTAATTAAGTCTTTGTTCATTATTAATTAAGCCTTTGTTCATGCTTTATTAAGGCTAAATAAGGTGTAGTTATTATAAAGTGTTACCTTGTTGTTGTTGTTTGGTTTTTTTTCCCTCAAACTTGTTTTATTATATGTCAAACAGTCAAGTGTGAGTGTGTTTGTGGTTGTGTTGATTTTGTTGTTTTGATGTTTTTTTTTTTTAATTCTGTATCCTCCTGTCTGCCCGACTGTATCTGTCTTTTGTTGTTGTCGAAAACGAGATGGCAAGACATCAAGGGGCTTATCCTCCAAATAAATACATTCTAATTCTAAATAAACACTCGAAACACGGCTCACGATACGATATTATCATGATACAAGCGATAATCGATATATTGGACTCAGCAACACTTTTTTGTTAAACCACTATGTGTGTCACTTTTAATCATGAAAACAGTGAATATCTGAAGTGTTTACTCAAAATTATGGACTCAAAATTAGTTTTTACAATACATCATATGCTCGTGTCTCACCTGTGATACTCCGGCTCTGCTCCTGTCTCACCTGTGATTCTCCGGCTCTGTTCTCGTCTCACCTGTGATTCTCCGGCTCTGTTCTCGTCTCACCTGTGATTCTCCGGCTCTGTTCTCGTCTCACCTGTGATTCTCCGGCTCTGCTCTCGTCTCACCTGTGATACTCCGGCTCTGCTCCTGTCTCACCTGTGATACTCCGGTTCTGCTCCTGTCTCACCTGTGATACTCCGGCTCTGTTCTCATCTCACCTGTGATTCTCCGGCTCTGCTCTCGTCTCACCTGTGATTCTCCGGCTCTGCTCTCGTCTCACCTGTGATTCTCCGGCTCTGTTCTCATCTCACCTGTGATTCTCCGGCTCTGCTCTCGTCTCACCTGTGATACTCCGGCTCTGCTCCTGTCTCACCTGTGATACTCCGGCTCTGCTCTCGTCTCACCTGTGATACTCCGGCTCTGCTCCTGTCTCACCTGTGATACTCCGGCTCTGCTCTCGTCTCACCTGTGATTCTCCGGCTCTGCTCTCGTCTCACCTGTGATACTCCGGCTCTGCTCCTGTCTCACCTGTGATACTCCGGCTCTGCTCCTGTCTCACCTGTGATTCTCCGGCTCTGCTCTCGTCTCACCTGTGATACTCCGGCTCTGCTCCGGTCTCACCTGTGATACTCCGGCTCTGCTCCTGTCTCACCTGTGATACTCCGGCTCTGCTCTCGTCTCACCTGTGATACTCCGGCTCTGTTCTCGTCTCACCTGTGATACTCCGGCTCTGCTCTCGTCTCACCTGTGATACTCCGGCTCTGTTCTCGTCTCACCTGTGATTCTCCGGCTCTGCTCTCGTCTCACCTGTGATACTCCGGCTCTGCTCCCGTCTCACCTGTGATACTCCGGCTCTGCTCCTGTCTCACCTGTGATTCTCCGGCTCTGCTCTCGTCTCACCTGTGATACTCCGGCTCTGCTCTCGTCTCACCTGTGATACTCCGGCTCTGCTCCTGTCTCACCTGTGATTCTCCGGCTCTGCTCTCGTCTCACCTGTGATACTCCGGCTCTGCTCTCGTCTCACCTGTGATACTCCGGCTCTGCTCTCGTCTCACCTGTGATTCTCCGGCTCTGTTCTCGTCTCACCTGTGATACTCCGGCTCTGCTCTCGTCTCACCTGTGATACTCCGGCTCTGCTCTCGTCTCACCTGTGATACTCCGGCTCTGTTCTCGTCTCACCTGTGATACTCCGCTCTGCTCTCGTCTCACCTGTGATACTCCGGCTCTGCTCCCGTCTCACCTGTGATTCTCCGGCTCTGCTCTCGTCTCACCTGTGATACTCCGGCTCTGCTCTCGTCTCACCTGTGATACTCCGGCTCTGGCCTGATGCGCTTTCTTCACGTCCCCCCAGTTTCCTGTGGCCAGTGAATACTTGAGTCCGTCTGAAATGATGCGTGTTTTTATGGCCAGCTCCAGGTTGAAGTCTTTTCCTCGGTCGATGAATTTCTGAGCGTAGATTCGAATCTCCTTCAGTAAATTCTTAAACATCCTGAATCAAAACAACACATGACAATGAAGGAAAAATACATTTATATATTTATATTTAAAAAGTTCCAATGTAAATAAAAATAATTCTTTGAATAGATGACCAATAAAAAAATCTAGCACTGACAAGTCTACTTGAATAATTGCTGTAGGGGTGAATTTGGATCAGAGTACTATTAGGAATAGAAATGTATTTACAGACAAAATGGAAAGGCTCACTGCAACAGTTACAGAGAGATTTTTCAGTGTAAAATGAGTCGATGGAGCCGGAAGCACCTTTAGGAACACAGGGTTTGCTATGTCTATTTATACACTGATAAAAAAAACTATAGGAACACTTTGAAAACAGATCAGATCTCAATGTGAAAAAAATAATGTTGGCCATCTATACAAATATGGACAGAGCAATATCTCAGGAACAAAAGGATGCCACCTCTTTGATTGAAAATGTTACTCTAGTTACTCTAGTTACTCTAGAGCTGTTTTCAGGCGGCACGAACGGTGCTGATTCCCGCAGCAGTGACACTGGGAACCAAAGTGCTCACGGTGAACGAGCCGCGTTCAAACCATTTAAGTGAACCCATGATGCGTCATCGACAGACAGTGTGGATTTGCCACCAATCACCATCGTGGATCGCTTCATGGACACCGGTGAGCATTTGGACTCATACAAATCATTATTTATCTGCACCAAGCTCTACTACAATATCTGCAGTGGAGAAGGAGACAGCGACGCCCAATCCAAAGGTCTCCTCTGACCACTGCACAATCTTCTTGTCACTTGATTTCTCCTCCATGTTCTACACACACATTTTCTTTGTTTATTTTACCTCATGTGACCCTGATGAACCTGCTGATGTCAACTGTGTCGTCATGCATCACTTGGAAAAATAAGTTTTACTTTACATTTCGGTTCTCGAACGCTCTGATTTTCAGCATGAACACATAAGTCGGTTCGAGATTAAGTGTGGGAACCAGCACCAGCACGGTTTTGTCAGCCTGAAAACACTACAGGAGAGCTGTACAGGGCCGTAGAAGATCCCTCACAGCATCAGACACCTGCAGGTTTCTCCCCAGACTCTACAGGAGCTCAGTGATGCCCTCACACAGATCTGATAGAACATCCCAGACACCGTCTGTCGTCTCATTAGGAACATGCCACAGCGTCGTCAAACATGAACACAAACACATGAAGCCACACAAGAGATTCAGAAGCATTCTGAGCAGCAGAAATAAAATTTAGCAAAACAGACTAGTCTAACACTTAATTATTTCACTTTGATTTCCAGGGAGTTTATAAAGTGAAGCCCTCTGTAAGCTGAAAATTGAATTTCCATTCAAATAGGAGCATCCTTTTGCTCCTAAAACATTGTCATGTCCGTATTTGTAGAGATATTCAACACATTTCACACTGAGATCTGATGTATTTTCAAAGTGTTTTTTTTTGTGCAGTATATATAGATTCTGTGGTTCTGACCCTCTGAAGAGGAAGGCCAGCAGAGGTCCAGCCAGGTCCAGCCTCTTGTTTCCATAGTGATCCCTGTCGTCCAGCTCACGGCGTCCCAGAGCGGCCAGCAGGAGGCGATGTACCATGTACCTGTGAGAGGAGAGAGGAAGAGAAGAGGGCACAGGTGAGACAGGAGAGCCACAAAACACTTCCTCTTTCATCTCACTCCTCACTTAGCATCGCAAAAATGATCTGATACCAGTGCAGATACTGAAAAATTAGCTGGATTGGAACCTGTAAATAGATGTAAGACAATTTTCTGGTCGTAGTTGGCGCTGAAACTCTCGTAATATTAGATTTTTTATTTATATAAAGTTGTTCAGTCATTGCTTGAGAGATAAACAGCTGCATAACACATTTCGATGAATATTGTCTTATTTCCCTTTTATAGTAGGAACAGAGTCAGGGCCGAGAGTGACCAGTGGTTCTGGTCCTTGGTCCTGGTACTGACCCGAGGAAGTAGGCCTTTTTGGTCTCACAGAAGTCGCTGACGCCGACGTGCGGCAGCATCTCCTTCTGCAGGACCTCCTTGGCGTACTTGATCCTGCGCTCTTTGGTCACTCCGGGTTTGGCGCCTCGAGAACCGATGAAGTTCAGAGCCACGTTCTGCTCCTGGATCACGAAGGCCTCGTCCAGAGAGGGCTTCACCTGGAGGGATCAGAGGAGGAGTCAGAGCTAGAGCGTGGAAACCCGACCAAAATCCCACGAGACATATATTTAGAATTTATGTTCGTGCTCAGACACATCGGCTGTTTCCTGTCGACAGTAAAACTCGTCGCTTTGAGGCTCTTAAGTGTTCAAAAGATCAGACTCTGCACTTCTAGTTTAGATACAAGCCAAAACTGTATTATTATTTGTGAAATGTGGAGCAAAACTTCAGATACAGGATTTTTAAAGCATAAAAATTTGGCGATAAAGTCCACAGGAAATAGAATCACTGTGGCGAATCTGCAGCTTCAGCTCGATCGGTGCAACGTGTTAAAGTAAACAGACACACCAGAGTAGGTCTGTAACGATAACAGATTTTGCTGGACGATTAACTGACCAAGAATTTATTGCGATAAACGATAATATTGACATTTTGAGACCAATTTCAACTAATATAATGACCATGGAATAAAAATGCAAATACGCCTTTTCAAAGATCAATAAACCTTACTTTCTAAAGAACGTTTAACACAGGAACTGTAACACAAACAAAAACAGGCCTAAATAAAACAGACTTGTTAACACAGGACTAGTCTAATGTATCTGGCCGACAGCAAGGACTTGTTCACAAAAATGCACTTGAATAAACCACTGCTGAACCAAATACAACCAAAGCAATAAATAAAATGGATCATTAAGTCTCTGTAACAAAATTGCCCTTAAAAGTGATTTTAGACACTGACTTACATTGGAATATAGTGGCCCCTCTCTCTCTCTGCTCTGCTGCTGTGGCATCGACATTTTGGTCATTTAAATGTTCGTATTAAACCGTGACACAGGATGAAGGAGCCTCTGTCCTGTCTGGAATCATGTCAGTGTCTTGTGAGATTTCAGTGGATTTTGGGCTCTCCCGGGGGTGGGGCTAATGGTGTCACTCGATTGGGTTTGGGTTTATATCGGCTGTTGGGGTTTGAGACATTTCTTTTCATCGTTTGATGCATCTGTTGAGACATGTGTCCCCGCTCACACCAGTGCTGATTCGGCATCGTGACTTGTTTTGGCACTCGGAGATGAACTGTTTTGTCACTCTGACAGCAGCGGTGCTTGTGTCGCGGCTTCATGTTTAGCTGCACAGACAGCGGCGTTTACTGCACTCGCAGAAAGCGCCATCCGCTGTGTTGATGAAACACAGCACACGCTGGTTCAAGCGTCATTACACTTGTTAAACAAGAGGAGTCAGAGCGATAGAAGCTTCAGTCTATTTGAGAGCGAGAGAGAGCGAGGAAAACAAACAAACATGCAAACAGAATTTATCACAGCCGGAAAACTTATCGAGCTCGTTAAAAGTTATCGTACGATTAATCGATTTATTATCGTTACAGGCCTACACCAGGGTATCCCCAGGTTTGACTACCCCAAATTTAAGACTTTTGAAAGACCTTTTTAAGACAACTTAAATGAAAATTAAGACCAACATCGCACCCATTATGCAGCGAAAAACCCCAGATCCAATTCTAATAATGACCAACAAACTACAGAACGATAGCTAGAATCTAAGAGCCACTGTGGATTAAACCGACACTTCCCCATGATCTTCTTCCACTCTACTGATCGTTTACTCATTGCCGCCGGTGCCAGAAACCAAAGTGACTTGTTTTCTGGTACCGACTTGGACATCATCATTTAAGACTTTTTAAGGCCTTAATTTAGGAACATGAAATTTAAGACCTTTTTAAGAATTTTAAGATCCCGCGGGTGACTGCACACGTGAGGAACGACTCTCGCCTTTTTACTTTTAAACAACACAAAAAACTGGATTCCCGGCGCCGTTTTGTGGACTGGGGGTCGTTATTTGCGGATAATGTGGATGAGACACTGCACTTTAAATTTACAACTTAACGAGAGCTGAGGAATAAAGTTTTCTCATTATTTTTGCTTTATACTGAGTTTGTTTTTTGCGTCTTTGTGTCCGTTAGAGGCCGAAGAATATCCTCCGTGTGTCTTTAGGCCTGTGAAAATAGTGTGATTTTAACTGTGTCGGGCTCGGGTCGGATTCGATCACTGCTCTGTCGGCAGTGTTGGGGAGTAACGGATTACATGTACCGCCGTTACGTAATCAGAGTACAAATTATGAGTAACTGTATTCCGTTACAGTTACTGTTTCAGTGAGTGGTAATTGGATTACAGTTACTTTGCTGAAATAAGTGGATTACAAGGCGGTATTTTCCTGTTTTCACATTTTGTGCTACATCCCATTTATTTATTTTTTTTTTCGGTAATTCCACTCATTGCCAGAAACCCAAACAGAACGCGCGCAATAAGAGCGATGTAAACGTCATATTAAAGTTGGCGGTGTCAGTCACACAGTGGAAGCAGCAGTGCATTGGTAAAAACGCATTTGTGTCTTGGAAATTCTTCTCCCGATGTGAGATAAATATATAAAAAAACAAATATAAAATCGCCTACAACTTAAATGTGAAACAGGAGCTACTGGCACCGGTGAAAACAACCTGCATAGACTCATAATATCTGCACTACTGTCCTATACACACACACACACACCAAACACACAAACACAAACACACACACAAACACAAAAACACACACAACACAAAAACACACACACACACACACAAGACACAAACACACACAAAACACACACAAACACAACACCTTCATCATCGTCATCAACCCTGAGAACCCGCGGACCACGTCTCCTTCCGTAGTTACTGCGCGGACACCGACGTCTCGTGCGCCGCGTGTCGACCGTGTTTTCTCGCGTAAACCGCGCTTCCTCCTGTGCGCCTCTAAACCAGAACTAACACCAGGACTAAACCAGAACTAAAGACCTGGTCTAGACCAGGTTTAAACTAGGACTAAACCACGACTAAACCAGAACTAAAGACCTAGTCTAGACCAGGTCTAGACTAGGTCTAAAAATCAGGACTAAACCAGGACTAAACCAGGACTAAACCAGGACTAAACAACACGACACCTAACAGTAGGTTGACATAATTTAAGGTGATCTCATGTAAAAAATAATTTCTCTATCAATAATATTTTTTAATCTGGTGAAGGAAAAGATGATCTTGTTTCTGTCTTTTAACAGACAAAACTTCTTATATTAAGATTTCCTGGTCTTTGTTTCTCTACAGTACAAACAGTTGTTTATTCATGGAGACTTGGGCTCAGACAATTTGAAGACAACAAACAAGAATTTTCAGGATGTGGTTGCTACATTCATGTCATTTAAAAAAACATGACAATATCAAGTAATCCAAAGTAATCAGATTACGTTACTCACTTTAAGTAATTTAATGGATTACGTTACAAACTACATTTTGGGGTGTGTAATCTGTAATCTGTAGGGGATTACATTTTAAAAGTAACCTTCCCAACACTGTCTGTCGGACGCAGATCGGGCTCGGACAGAAAAGTTCGTCCAGATCCACACGCTAGTCAGAGCAGGGGACAGTCTCATTTCTCTTTCCTAAATACTCGTGGTTTCCGTTCCTTTGCCTCCTCTGAGCTTTGGGACACCACTTAATCTGGAGCGTTTGATTGACAGCTGAAAAACGCTGAGAGACTTTTTTTTAAGAACTACAAAACGTTTCTCTTCGCGCTCTCACCATCTCCATCATCTCGGGGTCGTCGAAGTCGTAGATGATGTGCTCCAGGATGTCTCTGTCGGACACGAAGCCCAGAGCTCTGAACACGATGATGATGGGCACTTCCTGTCTGATGTACGGCAGCGTGGACACGATCCTCTGACCGATCGCGCTCTTCTTCACTCCCTGCACAAACACACAGTCCAGGGTCAGAACTCGGTCAGAACTGGTTTAGTCCTGTTTTACTTTAGTCCTGTCTAGTTTTGTCATAATTTAGTCCTAGTTTCATTCAAATTTTGTCCTAGTCCAGCCCTAGTTTAGCCCTGGTTCAGCCCTGGTTTAGTGGTTGTGGTTTAGTCCTGTTTTGGTCTTCGTTTAGTCCTGGTTTAGTCCTGGTTTAGTCCTGGTTCAGTCCTGATTTAGGTTCAGTCCAGTCCTGGTCCTGCCCCACTTCAGTCCAGGTTTGGTCCTGGTCCAGTCCTGGTCCAGTCCTGGCTTAGTCCTGGTCCGGTCGTTGTGTAGTCCTGGTTCAGTCCTGTTTTAGTCCTGGTTCAGTCCTGGTTCATTCCTGGTTTAGTTCTAGTTTTGTCCTAATTTAGTCCTATTTTCCTTCCAGTTTTGTCCCGTTCCGGTCTTGGTCCAATCCTCTTTCAGTCGTGGTTCAGTCCTGGTTTAGTCTTGGTTTTCTTCTGGTTCAGACCTGATTCAGTCCTGGTTCAGTCGTGGTTTAGTCCTGGTTTAGTCTTCGTTTAGTCCTGGTTCAGCCCTGGTCCCGTCGTGGTTTAGTCCTGGTTTGGTCTTGATGTAGTCCTGGTTTTGTTCTGGTTCAGTCCTGATTCAGTACAGATTTATCCCTGATTTAGTCCCAGTACAGCCCTGCTTCAGGCCAAGTTTAGTCCTGGTCCGGGTCGTGGTTTAGTCTTGGTTTAGTCTTAGTTTTCTTCTTGGTTCAGCCCTGGTTTAGTCCCAGTCCAGTCCTGGTCCAATCCTGGTCCAGTCGTGGTTTAGTCTTGGTCCAGTTGTGGTTTAGGCTTGGTTTAGTCTTGGTTTTGTCTTGGTCCAGTCCTGGCTCAGTCCTGCTCCAGTCCTGCTCCAGTCCCAGTCCAGTCCTGGTCTAGTCCTTTTCCAGTCCCGGCTCAGTCCTGGTCCAGTCCTGCTCCAGTCCCGGCTCAGTCCTGGTCCAGTCCTGCTCCAGTCCCGGCTCAGTCCTGGTCCAGTCCCGGCTCAGTCCCGGTCCAGTCCCGGCTCAGTCCTCACCTGTCCTCCTCGGGCCATCATGCTGACCCAGATGGTGCTGGTGGGTCTGGACGAGTTCTCGAGGCAGGAGCGGCACTCGGCGGTGTAGGCGTACTTCGAGTCTTTCTTGGCGAAAACGTAAACCGTGTTGGTGGCCATTTTCTCCTGAGCGATCAGCACCTGGAACCGGACCACACAGGACTTTAGACCCGACCAGGACCAACGTCAGACCTCAGCTCCACAGACTCTGGTGGTTTTATTTTACAATTTTGTCTGTAAATCTGGCTCCTGGCTCCAATTTCACCCCTTTAAGAGCATCGCTCATTTCACTGCGGAATTGATACTCGATACTGATTCTGATGCCACAGTGACAATAAAAACTCTTTCTTTAGACAACAGAATGTCATTTTCCACATTAACTGGTAGTACTTTCTTGTGTTGTGTTGGTGGACGTGTTTCTCTCCTCTCCTGCTCCTTATCTTCCCTGCTTTGCCTCTTTGTCTCGTCTAGTCTAATGTCTTACACTTTTGAGAGTCTCTGTCCGCTCTGCTCTCTGAACCTAAATTAACTATGGGTTTGATAAGTTGGGCTCTCAAGGCAAATGACACAGTTTTTTCGACAAGAGGCTCAGGCTCGGCTCAGGCGAACCTGGGGGGGGACCCCCAGAAATTTCACTGCGGGCTACACTTCGGACAGTTGGGTTAAGTGGTGCGTCGTGTGTCTGGTGGCTCTTTCTGTGGAGGACATCAAAAATATTTACCTGTTTGGAACCATGACTACATGACTTTTGTTGATTGGATTAGGCATGGCCCTGTTTTTTCAAAAAGTTCAGATTAACGAGGTGGCTATCCAACGCCCCACTTGGCTTCTCGGACTCTCAAAATGTGACTATGAGCCGTTTTATGTAAGGTTCAGTTGCCTCGCACCGCATTTTGAAAATCATTACAGAAAGGCCAGCGGTCATTGACCAGAGGTTGGATTGGACTGTGGCCTTGGAGAGCAGTACTGATAATATCTCAGAGAGATTTGAAGCTTTATAAAGAAGAAAGAGCAAGAGGAAAGAGCAGATCTTGAGACAAACAGAGACAATCAGAGCTGTTGTGGAAATGGGCACAGCTGCTCGACTGAAACCCAAAAAAACCCAAATCCTTATTGGCCTCCACCAGCCAGAACCAGCCTCGGGCAAGGCTGGGTGCAATCAACTCGCCCTGGAGACTAGAGCAGGGAGGTGGCTCTCCCTCTTCTTCCCTCCTCTACGCCTTCGCAGCTTCGCCCACCCAGCTTGGTGCAAGTCTTCTTGTTATGTTTTGACTATGTGCTGATGTCACAGAGGTGTTTTTGTTTTTGTGTGTGTTTGCTGGTTCCATATTATGCCCGAGTTAAGAGGCACAGTCTGGGGGCTGTTCTCTTTTTTTTCTCCTCCCCATGTCCTCATGATATGCAGCAGTGTTTCTTCCTCTGCTACCGGTCTTCCAGTCCGGTCCATGTCTAATTTCCCCATGTCATTTCTCCTCAGCTCCCCCTCTCCGCCCTTCTTTCTTCTTTTCTTCCTCCTTCCCCTCTCCTTCTCTTTCCACCCTCACCCCTCTGCCTCTCTCCTTCTCTCCACTCTCCTTCTCTCCTCTCTCCTTCTCTCCTCTCTCCTTCCTCCACTCTCCTTCCTCCACTCTCCTTCCCTCTCTCCTTCCTCCACTCTCCTTCCTCCACTCTCCTTCCTCCTCCTCTCGTTCTGACCTTCTCGGACCCGTTGATGATGAAGTACCCCCCGGGGTCGAGCGGACACTCGTTGAGCTCGCACAGGTCTCTGTCGGTGAGTCCGCTCAGGAGGCAGTAGGTGGAGCGGAGCATGATGGGGATTTTGCCGATGAAGGTTTTCTGGTGCTGCGTCTGGAGCTGCTCCTCTCCCTCCTTTATGATGGTTTTAGTGATGTCCACGTACAGAGGAGCCGAGTATCTGCAGAAACGACGACGACAACGACACACACACACACACCACAACACAGACACACACACACGAGGGGTTAGACATGGTGTAGACCTGGTTTAAACTGGGTTCAGACCTGCTTTAGAATAGTTCTGGTTTTGTTTTGGTTTAGTCCTGCTTTAGACCTGTTTTACTCCTAGTTTAGTTCTGGTTTAGTCCTGGTTTAGTCCTGGTTTAGACCTGGTTTAGACCTGGTTTAGTTCTAGTTTAGACCTGTTTTAGTCCTGGTTTAGACCTGTTTTAGTTCTAGTTGAGACCTGGTTTAGTTCTGGTTTAGACCTGGTTTAGACCTGGTTTAGTCCTGTTTTAGTCCTACTTTAGACCTGGTTTAGAACTGGTTTAGTTCTAGTTTAGACCTGGTTAGTTCTAATTTAGACCTGGTTAGTTCTAGTTTAGACCTGGTTTAGTCCTGGTTTAGACCTGTTTTTTTTCCTGGTTTAGACCTGATTTAGTTCTAGTTTAGACCTGGTTTAGTCCTGGTTTAGACCTAGTTTCGTCCTAGTTTAGACTTGGTTTAGAGCTGTTTTAGTCCTGGTTTAGTCCTAGTTTAGACCTGGTTTAGGCCTGGTTTAGACCTGGCGTAGACCTGGTTTAGAAAAGTCCTGCTTTAGTCCTGCTTTAGTCGTAGTTCAGTCCTGGTTCAGTTCTACTGTAGAATAGTCCTGGCTCAGTCCTGATTCAGTCCTGGTTCAGTCCTACTTTAGAATAATCCTGGTTTAGTTCTTGTTTAGTCCTGCTTCAGTTTCGCTTCAGTCTCGCGGAGGAGGGGGGGGGTGTCTTACGTGAGGTTGCGTAGTCGAGCTTCGTTGGGCATCATGGGAGATGGAGCTCCGTCTCTCTCCCAGTGCGTCGGTTTGGACAAGTAAATCTGCTCAAACTTCAGCAGGAAACGGGGCTGGACACACAAACGGAGACAGAAACAGAGGGACAGAGGGACACAAAGCAGTTAGTCACACGGACACAGACAAGTATCGTAAGTGACGGGTAAACTGTTGCAATATGGGTCCTAACTTGTCATGAAAAAACCTTTATTTAGTGCCAATTTTATGAGCATACTGCTGTAATTTGTCGTTTTATACCTTTTAATACTCAACCAGATACAAAATAGTTGTACGCCTGGTGCTGCGTTGCTTTTTGCTGTATCGCAGCAATGTGGCATTACAGGGAAATATTTTCATATTTTACTGAGTACAAATGTGAGTAACACAATGCATTTTTAACCTGGATTGAAGTGGTGGATTTTTCGTTTATTTGTCTTATTCCTAATATGAAACTCTGCTCCAAATTGGCTCCTGTAACTGCGAACATCTTGAGCTTCATTTGACTGTAGCCCAACGCTGTGAGTGAAACCTCCATAGCTCCTCTTTAAATCAGTGCTGAAAAACTGTATATGTCTCGTTTAAAAGCCTGGGTGCCCGGGTTCACTCACCGGCTCCTCCACCTCCCCTGACGTGTGCTGCGCCTCGGCCTGCAGGTCGATGGGAGGAGCGTCCTCCACGATCCTCTGAACAGACATCTGGATGAACTCATCGAACGAGTCCAGCTGCTGCCGGACCAGACCCTTCTCATCAAAGTACGAGCTGAGGGGAGAACGAAACACAGCGTTTAGAAACAGAGAAGGTTCACATGAGGCGGTGAGAAAAACATCACAGGTTTCACTAATTAACTCTGGAATAATCGCGAGGGATATTTTTGTTTTGTGGTGGTTCAGCTCTGGTTTTAGGGGACAGTATTTATTAGGGATGCACTGATCCAGAGTCTCAAAGTCTTTAACCTCAAGTCTGAGTCAAGTCCTAAGTCAAATACAGGCAAGTCCAGGTCGGGTTTTTCAGATTTTTCTTTTTTAAACGTCTGGACAAGATCTTAGCGTGAATCATTACGGTCGGAATAGAAAAAAAATCAGATTTAAAAGTGCTTCTCAAGTCACAGGCCTCAAGTCCGAGTCAAGTCCCAAGTCACTGACCTTTAAGTCCAAGTCAAAAACAGGTCAAGTCAAATCAAGTCTCAGAGCCTGTTTACACGAGAAAACGAAAAAATATTTTATCTGAAGTGCCTTTCGTTTAGACGGTGACGGCGTTTTTGAGGCTTAAAAACGCAAAACTCCGAAGCCATCCTCCAGAGTGTAAAAGTTGAATACGCTCCACCGTTGCGTTTCTGTCCACACTGCCCAAGACACAAAACAAATCAAATTCCACACACTTTTGCCTCACCATATGCAGCAGATTTCCTCCCGAAAACGCTCGTCTAAACGCGGAATAAAAAGTGAAGAAGCGACGCCACTTTTATGTCTTCTGTTCAGATCTTCGTCATATAAACGAAGTCTAAAGTCCAAAAAAATAGTGACTCAAGTCCGATTTTCACCTCTGACTGAAACAGATATCGGCGCAGATGCTGAAAAATCTGCTGGATCAGATATCGGCTTCCAAATATCGGTTCATTCGATATCCTGATTAGAGCTCAGCCGATATATCGGTTGCCCGATATTATCGGCCGATGTGAGCACCTGGAAGAATATCGGCTGATATGCTTGCTGATACGGGCCGATATTTCAAGTGGGCATGTTATACCTCGTTATAAATTTTAGACTCTCTACATTATGTTCATTTAATCCAATTTACAGACAGAGAAATGTCCAAATATGTGGCTCCGCATCAGTATTTATCTGCGCAGTCATTGGTCAGTGTGTGTGTCCGTACTGTCCCTGAACACACCCCCAGAGTCACGTGTGTTTGTTTACAGCCGCAGACACAGATCCATGTGCAACACTGACATTATTTTCTTTTTACGGACAATCGGTTTGAGTCTGGATTAAAAGGACTTTTATTAGCGCAGACTTGTGATGTGGGAGGAGCCTGTGTGAGGCTGAGTGTTGGAAATATGTCGACTTTGAAGCTAGTTTTGATTAGTGATTAGCTGCTGTGTCTCTCACACATAAACAGTCTGTTTTCTATTGGTCTATTGTAAAGTGACTACATTGGCCGTATATTTGTTACTGGACCTGCATTGATATGTAAATGAGCTGTGAATAGACGTGTGAATTATGACATTTGCGCATATAATTATTTACCGCGGCGTGCAGCATTTACGACTAAAGGCTAATAGCGATTGTTTATTTACTAGCTAGGCTAGTAGTGATGGGTCGGTCGCGAACGAAGCGGCTCTTAGAGCCGGCTCTTTGAAGAGAACGACGGGAGCCTAATCCTTATTGGGACTGAGTCGTGTTTTCTCTTTCTCTCACTTTTTTCTCTTCACGTCGTGTGCAGAGTCGTGGGAGTTTGACAGCGGCAGTGGCTCAAAATGAAACTTTCAAAAATATTTGTGTGCATAGGATAAAAAGAGAGAGGGAGAGGGATAGAGTCCCGACACTCAGTCCTGGTTCAGTTCTGGTTTAGTCCTGTTTCACACATGGTTTAGATCTGTTTTAGTCCTGGTTTAGTCCTTTTTCAGTCCTGGTTCAGTTCTAGTTTAGACCTGCTTTAGTCCTATGACATATCATGTAAAATGTCAGAATAACAATACATGTTTCCTAATTAAACCCAGTTTAAAATCCACCAGAGCCAAACCTAAGTTTTTTTAAATACTTCAAGATTTACAGTGAATTTTTACATCATTAATATATCGGCGATTATATCGGCAGCTCCAACTCCCATTATATCAGTTTCATATCAGCCACAACAAAATCCATATCGGTCGGGTTCTAATCCTGATTGTCCATATACAACGATGTAAAAAAACGATTTACTATTTACTTCCATAGTGTGCGCGCAAAGTCTCACAATATTTGAACGTATATTTGTCAGAGTTGTTCAGTTCTTACTTGAGAAATAAACAACAGCTACAGAACACATTTGGATCTGTTTTGAACCATTTTATTTGTGTTTTAAAAGAAATAAAAGTTGTTTTCGGTCTGTTTTAGTATCGGAATCAGTATTGGAAGTGAAAAAGCTGGATCAGTGCATCTTTAATAATTATTGTGGGTACGTTTTCATTGTATTAGTGAGATAAATTTTACCATTTTTAACATTTTTTTGGAGAGTTTGAGAGAATAAAGAGGGTCAACATGAGGAGATATGACATAGAAAAGTGTCCGTGTGTGTGTTTGTGTGTGTCTCCAACCTGATGACGATCCAACAGGCCTCCTGCCACAGATCCGGGGTGATCTCGTCGTCGTCTTCATCGTACTGCGGATCTGCACAACACAAACACCATCACAAAACTGGTCTCTAATAACAACACATTTTGGAGCTTAATATTTATCGTGTGCACATTTTCTTTGCAAACATGCTGAGAATTTTGTTATTTAGTTGTTTTGTAAGACTTGGGCTGTTTGGCAAATTACTGGTTCATTCTGTTGTTCATCTGTTGCAGCTCAGACCTTTAAGAACTACTTTCTATTTAAAAATTCTTGTAAAAGTGTACAGTTGTAAAGTGTGTTTGTGTAAGAGTGTATGTATGGGTAAGATTGTGAGGTTTCAGCACCAGTAAATATAAATGACAAATTATGTACAGCAGGGGTGCTCAATATGTCGATCGCGATCTACCAGTCGATCGCCAAGGTCGTGTGGGTAGATCGTCGTGTCTCGTCTCGGACTCGATCGCGTTTGGACTCGGTCTTGTCTCTCACTCGAGGTGTGACACTCAACAAGTGTGATCATATTTCATTCCGGCCACTGCTGTTGGTAATAAACTTGTAGCGGGTGCAGGAGCGTGTGGGGCGTCTCAGTGCAGCCTGTGCGCTCATTTGAAACCCGCGGAGACTCTACAGCGCATCACAAACACACACGCTCCCTATGCACGGCTCGTCTGCGACAGCGTGTGCCCTCGTGTACCAGCGTGCATCACAGGGCAGGTTCAACTTCCTAAACATCCTACCTGTCCATCTGCCTCACGTCAGCATGCAGCCCCTCGCCTTTTCACGCTCTCGCTCCTTCCTGCGTACAGCGAACACAAGCCCCTCCCACAGTGCGCGCTGATTAGAAGAGCAAGACCAAACGTGAAGCAAAAACCAGTCTAAATTTGTGTTCCAGTGTTGGCACAAAGCAGGTCTACAGCATAGAGCGGATCTACAGAACAGACCTACTGCCACATTTGGCTGAAGTTTGTCTAACAAAAGTGCACAAATGCATCTACGTTTGTCACGATGTGTGTTTGGTTTGGTAAATGTGCAGAGGCTGGTAAATATCACTGCAAAACCACAAAAGAATGAAACTCCAGTTTGGAACTTTAAAAAACAGGTTTAAAAATCTTCCTTCACTTTTTTTCACAGTTTTGTGTAAAGTGCCAGAGGAAGTTCTCTTAAAGAAGAGGTTCTCAAACTGTGGGTGAGGGTCCAAAAAAGGAGCACAGAGTGTTTCAGTGCAGTTTGCTTGGCTTTGTATTAGGTAGATCATTTTAGACTTGGTCATTTTGTAAGTAGCTCACATGCTGAAAAAGTGTGAGCACCTCTGATGTACAGCATAGAAACACATATTTCCATTATTGTTGTTCTGAACCTGCTTTTTTTTTCATATATTTTGAAAATCTGGTCACCTTAATTTTAATGCATTATTCCGTATTGTGTAATTAAATCCATTTCCAAAACCTTCATGTCTCTGCACAGAAATAGCATCATTAGCTTTAGCATTAGCATCTTTCCCTCCTTCGGGTTCAGGTTTAAACTCTAAACTCTCTCCGGGCTTCAGTCTGAGGCTCCGGACCTGTGCCCCCGAACCCTCTCCCCGCTGTGGGTCTCACCTTCGTCCTGGTCGTACATGTTTGTTGTTTTTGGGTCAGAACTTTGTCCACACGAACGACGCGCGGCGCAAACAAAGCTGCGTGCGGAAAACGACCCGCTTCCGCACTACACCGCTACGTCACTACGTCACTTCCGCCGCTTTTCTCAACTTCCTTCCAACTTTTTTTTTTTTTTTTTTTTTTTTTTTTTTGCGGCTCCGTCCGGGTTTTGTTATACTCACTTGCTTCCTTGGCTTACTTCAAATTATTAGTTTTGCTTTACTTGATTTTATTTTTTTTATTTTACGTTTTTTCATTTTTCATCTATGTTATGAAATTGAACGTCTGTTTTATGTGTTTATATTGTATTATATTGTGTATATGTATTATAATCTAATAAAAAACAAACAAACATTTTTTTAAAAATCCTCAGTTCCTAACCCAAAAGTTCTCTTTGAGACCATATTTAAAAACGTCTCTCCTCTAAACTCTCAAACGTCACACCACTGGACAGAAATTACATCTTTGTTAATTTTAATAATAAAATTAATAATAATACATCGGAATTATATATATGTATATATATATATATATATATATATATATATATATATATATATATATATATATATATATATATATATATATATATATATATATATATATACATGTTTATTTTTAATTCCCTATTCATTTGAGTACTGTAAATTTGATTATTTTAATAAAAACATATATAGAAAATATGTAATTTTTTATTTATTTTTTTGTCCTGTTTTTATTTATTTATTTATTTATTTTATTTTATAAAGTCCCTATTCATTTGCAACTTGTATAACTTAATAAAATAAAATGTAAAAAATAAATAAATAAAACACTTCTTAATTTCCCTTTGCCTCAGTGGTCTGTTTTCTTTTTCTTTTCTTTTTTTCTTTTTTTTCTTGTCTTTTTTTTTATATTCATTTTTCTAACTGGTATAACTAACTAAACTAAACTAAAAATAAAACAAAATAAAATAAAATAAATAAAACAAACTAGACTAAAATAAATTAAACTAAAATAAAATAAAATAAAATAAAAATTAAATAAAATTGACTAAAATAAAATAAAAAATAAAATAAACTAGACTAAAATAAACTCAAATAAAATTAAATTAAATTAAACAAACTAGACTAAAATAAAATAAAATAAACTAGACTAAAATAAACTAAACTAAAGTCAAATCAAATCAACTCAACTCGTCCACGGAGAAGCGAGGACCAATGAAAACACAGCCCGTCGTTTGTGATTGGCTCGTTCTCGTCAGTGGGCGTGGTCGAGGAATCGAGGAGTCGAGGAGACACGCGCAGGACCCGGACGCGGCCTGGACACTGCGCCGGGGACCGTGTGGCTGCGGAACACTCGAGACTACGGTGAGAAAAACACTTTAAACGCGGAGGAAAGTTGGTGAAAAGTGCATAAAGTTTGACGGGAGAAGCGCGCGGAGGTTTTTACGCACAGAAGGAAACTATGCGAGTGTAGTTTGGAAAGAGACGGACTGACACGCGCTGCGGCTCGGGCTTCCTGACAGGTGTCACGAGAGAACAGCTGAAAGGGCCCCGGGGGTTCTGCACTTTTTATTATTTTGTGAATAATATTCGTGGTAAATTTGACTATTGTGAGCTTTAAGTCACGTTATAATGTTGTTCCCTCTTCAAAAACAAACCCGGAGGTGTGTTTTGTTTCATTCACATGTTTAAGTGATCCTTTATTTCATTTGTTTACATCTCCAAAGCTCAAAATGTTCTGTTCCACGTCGTGATGTCATGAAGTGATAGTTTTCAAGTGAACAGCAGCTCCTTTTAACTTTTATTTATTTATAAAGTTTGGCAATTCCAGGTCTGAAATTATCAAAATGATTCTAGTGAAGGTGTGTGGAGTTTAAAAACACAGTGGAGCCTTTAGTGTGTTACCACACGATGACATCACAAGGTGGAACAGAGTGTTTTCTGTTTGAGAGAAGAACTCTTGTGAATGAAACAAACAACGGTACAAACAACAGTATATTTGTGATGAGGAAACGACATTAGAATACAATAAAAATAGATGAAGTGTTATTAGTAAATTAAAACTTACACCATAGTCCGTCATATTTCTGGCAAAAAATAGATTATAAATATAAATATTATAAATATAAAATAAAATCATGTTTAACTTTCTGTTTCCATGAGATCTCACTTTTCAAAGTTTTATTTTGTAAGGAGCCGAAGGAGTAAAAATAAAATGGATATTCTGAGAATAACTCTTCTGCTCTCTCCTCTCTTCTCGTCTCTCCTCTCTCTTTCTCTCTCCTCTCTCCTCTTCCTCTCCTCTCTCCTCTTCCTCTCCTCTCTCTCTCCTCTCACTCTCTCTCCTCCTCTCACTCCTCTTCTCCTCTTCCTCTCTCCTCTCCTCTCTTCTTCTCTCTTTCTTCCTCCTCTTCCTCTTCCTCCTCTCTTCTTCTCTCTCTCTTCCTTCTCTTCTTCTCTCTCTCTTCCTTCTCTTCTTCCTCCTCTCTTCTTCTCTCTCTCTTCCTTCTCTTCTTCTCCTCTCTCCTCTCTTCCTCTCTTCTTCTCTCTTTCTTCCTCCTCTTCCTCCTCTCTCCAGGTGCGATGGATCCAGAGTTGCTCCTGGACTCGAGTATTCGTCTGTGGGTGGTTCTGCCCATCGTCTTCATCACCTTCCTGTCCGGCGTGCTCCGTCACCACGCCTCCACCCTCCTGCAGCGCGACAAGGAGGCGGGGCTAGAGGCCATCTCTGACAGGTGAGGAGGCGGGGCTAGAGGCCATCTCTGACAGGTGAGGAGGCGGGGCTAGAGGCCATCTCTGACAGGTGAGGAGGCGGGGCTAGAGGCCATCTCTGACAGGTGAGGAGGCGGGGCTAGAGGCCATCTCTGACAGGTGAGGGCGGGGCTGACAGGTGAGAGCGAGTCTAACAGGTGATGGGGAGGGCTGACAGGTGATGGCGGAGCTGACAGGTGAGTGCGGGGCTGACAGGTGAGGACAGGGCTGACAGGTGAAGGTGGGACTGACAGGTGAGGACAGGGCTGACAGGTGAAGGCGTGGCTGACAGGTTATGAGGAGGGCTGACAGGTGAAGGCGGGACTGACAGGTGAGGACAGGGCTGACAGGTGAAGGCGTGGCTGACAGGTTATGGGGAGGGCTGACAGGTGAGTGAGAGCCTGACAGGTGAGGGCGGGGCTGACAGGTGAGAGTGTGGCAGACAGGTGAGGGCGGGCTGACAGGTGAGAGCGGGGCTGACAGGTGAGGGCGGGGCTGACAGGTGAGAGTGGGGCTGACAGGTGAGGGCGGGGCTGACAGGTGAGGGCAGGGCTGACAGGTGAGAGCGGGGCTGACAGGTGAGAGTGTCGCAGACAGGTGTGGGCAGGGCTGACAAATCTGGGCGTAGCTGACAGGTGAGGGTGTAGCTGACAGGTGTGGGCGTGGCTGACAGGTGAGGGAGGGGCTGACAGGTGTGGGCGGGGCTGACAGGTATGGGCAGGTCTGACAAGTGTGGGTGGGGCTGACAATTGTGGGCGTAGCTGACAAGTGTGGGCGGGGCTGACAGGTGTGGCGGGGCTGACAGGTGGGGTGGGCTGACAAGTGTGGCGTAGCTGACAAGTGTGGGCGTAGCTGACAAGTGTGGGCGTAGCTGACAGTGTGGGCGTAGCTGACAGGTGTGGGCAGGGCTGACAGGTGTGGGCGTAGCTGACAGGTGTGGGCGGGGCTGACAGGTGTGGGCGTAGCTGACAGGTGTGGGCAGGGCTGACAGGTGTGGGCGGGGCTGGCAGGTGTGGGCGGGGCTGACAAGTGAGTTGTTTCATTTCCTGCGTCTCTGTAAACATCAGGTTGTAACATCAGATCTGTGTTTGTCTTTCAGTCAAGTTTTACTACGAAGCCGAATTCTCAGAGAAAATGGGAAGTACCTGCCACGACAGGTGAGTCCTGTCAAAACCCAGGAAGTGATAAACCTTTAACTTTAAAGTTTAATATGGACCTTGATCCTCCTGGGCCTGGTCTAGTCTGGATCCCACACACTACAGGATTTTTTGTCTTTCGTTGATTTGCTTTTTTCTGTTTATGGTCGTACAAAATAATAATAATAATTTTAACGAAGGCACAAAAGTTTATGATCGTACAAAATAAACCACAATGAGAATGAAAAAATGTAAGGATTTTTTTTATTGTTTTTGTTTATGGTCGTACAAATTGAAAATAATGTTAACGAAGGCACAAAAGTTTATAAAGTTTATCAGATTATCCAAATTCTCTGGATAATGTGGAATTCTGCTCCTTCTTTTCTCTATTTAGTTTAGTTCAATTTAGTAATTATTAGTTTTTAAATTTGATTATTTTAATAAATTCTGAATTGGACAAAAAAGTGTCATGTGTTGGTAAGTCAGACGTTTTTATAGTTCCAAAAAGCGAGACTAGAAAGGAAACAAAAATATTAAATCAAATCAAGATAAAAATGTGAGACCAAGATTGAAAAGTGAATTTATAGATTAGGAATAATGTTCAAATCTCGTTTTATCTCGTTCTTATGGATCCAATCTCGTATCACAAAATGGTTTGTACAATTCTTGTCTTTTTTAATGTATTTTTTCTGCTGCGTTTGGATTTTTTTTTTTTTTTTTTTTTCAGTGAATAAACTGAGAGATTCGGTCCAGGTCTGGTCTGAGATTGTGTTTTTGTTTTTTCAGTCGTTCATGATGAGGAAACATTACTTCAACAACTCAGAGACCGGATTCTTCAAAAAGACCAAGAGGAAAGTCATCCCCAAGAATCCACTCACAGGTACCACCAGATCTGGACTAACTTTGGGCTGGTTTAGTCCCGGTTTAGTCCTGGTTCAGTCCTGGTTCAGTCCTGGTTCAGTCCCGGTTTAGTCCCGGTTTAGTCCCAGTTCAGTCCCGGTTCAGTCCTGGTTCAGTCCCGGTTCAGTCCTTTAGTCCTGTTCAGTTTAGTCCCAGTCCTGGTTCAGTCCTGGTTTAGTCCTGGGTTCCCAGTCCTGGTTCAGTCCTGGTTCAGTCCTGGTTTAGTCCTGGTTTTAGTCCTGGTTCAGTCCTGGTTCAGTCCTGGTTCAGTCCGGTTTCCGGTTTTTAGTCCCAGTTTAGTCCCGGTTCAGTCCCGGTTCAGTCCTGGTTTAGTCCCGGTTTAGTCCCAGTTTAGTCCGGGTTCAGTCCCGGTTCAGTCCCGGTTCAGTCCCGGTTCAGTCCCGGTTTAGTCCCGGTTTAGTCCTGGTTTAGTCCCGGTTTAGTCCTGGTTCAGTCCCGGTTCAGTCCCGTTTTAGTCCCGGTTTAGTCCTGGTTCAGTCCTGGTTTAGTCCTGGTTCAGTCCTGGTTCAGTCCTGGTTTAGTCCTGGTTCAGTCCTGGTTTAGTCCTGGTTCAGTCCTGGTTCAGTCCTGGTTTAGTCCTGGTTTAGTCCTGGTTTAGTCCTGGTTTAGTCCTGGTTTAGTCCTGGTTTAGTCCTGGTTCAGTCCCGGTTTAGTCCCGGTTTAGTCCCGGTTCAGTCCCGGTTTAGTCCCGGTTCAGTCCTGGTTTCAGTCCTGGTTTAGTCCTGGTTCAGTCCTGGTTTAGTCCTGGTTCAGAGTCCTGGTTCAGTCCTGGTTTGGTTTAGTCCTGGTTCAGTCCTGGTTTAGTCAGTCCCGGTTTAGTCCCGGTTTAGTCCTGGTTTTAGTCCTGGGTCAGTCCTGGTTCAGTCCTGGTTTAGTCCTGGTTTAGTCCTGGTTCAGTCCTGGTTTAGTCCTGGTTCAGTCCTGGTTCAGTCCTGGTTTAGTCCTGGTTCAGTCCTGGTTCAGTCCTGGTTCAGTCCTGGTTCAGTCCTGTTTTTCTTTCAGACAGTGGGATGGTGTTGGACATGATGAAGGGGAACCTCACAAACGTTCTGCCCATGATCCTGATCGGAGGTTGGATCAACTGGGCCTTCTCCGGGTTCCTCACCAGTGAGTAGCACCTGCCAGTAGCACCTGCCAGTAGCACCTGCCAGTAGCACCTGCCAGTAGCACCTGCCAGTACAGTTCTGTACACTCACATTTACAGCACCTTTTTTTGTGTGTTTGTGCAGCTAAAGTTCCGTTCCCGCTCACCCTGAGGTTCAAGCCCATGTTACAGAGAGGAGTGGACCTGATCTCACTGGACGCCTCCTGGTGAGGGACACACTGAGGTCCACAGGAGGAGAGGACAGAGGACAGAGGAGGCAGAGGAGGAGAGGACAGAGGACGAGAGGACAGAGGACAGAGGAGGACAGAGGACAGAGAGAGGACAGAGGACAGAGGACAGAGGACAGAGGACAGAGGACAGAGGACAGAGGACAGAGAGAGACAGAGGACAGAGAGAGACAGAGGACAGAGGAGAGAGAGGACAGAGGAGAGGACAGAGGACAGAGGACAGAGGACAGAGGACAGAGGACAGAGGACAGAGGACAGAGGACAGAGGACAGAGGAGAGACAGAGGACAGAGGAGAGAGAGGAGAGAGAGAGACAGAGGACAGAGGACAGAGGACAGAGGAGAGAGGAGGAGAGGACAGAGGAGAGAGAGGACAGAGGAGAGAGGACAGAGGACAGAGGACAGAGGAGAGAGAGAGACAGAGGACAGAGGAGAGGAGAGAGGACAGAGGACAGAGGAGAGACAGAGGACAGAGGACAGAGGAGAGGAGAGAGAGAGAGACAGAGGACAGAGGACAGAGGAGGAGAGGACAGAGGACAGAGAAAATTACATTAATATGCCGATATTAATCGACACCAGTGCAAGACTGAAACTGCACCTGTTGTTTATCTGAACGACAGAATAAGTCTGTATGAATAAAAATTCAAACATTATGAGACTGAGCGACTCTGACCGATAAACAGAATCCTGTTTACTGCTCCTCCTGAATCGGCTGAACCGATATGTGAAAGTCCATATCTGATCCAGCAAATCATAACAGTATCGGTGCCGATATTCGATAACAGTATCAGATTAGTGAAATGAGTTAATTTTAAATGGTTTAAACTTATCTTTACTGCACTGCTACAACAGCACAGTAAAGCTAACAACAACTAGCATGCTAATGCGCACATAGTGGTCAGACGCAGCAGATATGACAATACCACTGTGTACCACTGTGGTCAGATCGGTCAGATCGCAGAAGTTCAGAGGTCAGGTTTGGTTCACACTTTGGATGGAGACACTTGGAAAATCAGGAGCCACAGGAGGCACCAGACACAAAAACTGTTGTTGTGTCCTTAGGCAAGACACTTCACTCACATTATCTAGTATGAAAGTGGTGTGTGTGTGTGTGTGTGATGGTGGTGGTCGGAGGATGGCGCAGATTGGCAGCCGTGCGTCAGTCAGTCTGCCCCACGGCAGCTGTGGCTACACCAGTAGTTTACCTTCACCGGCTCTGGAGGGAATGAATAATGTTCTGTAAAATGTCTTTGTGACAAATGTCTGTGAAAAGTTCTATAGAAATAAAAATGTACTTACAGTAAATGTTTTGACCTCAAGAGCTGCTGATTCAGTAGGTCCAGTCTGGTCCTGGGTCTGGTCCTGGGTCTGGTTTCTGGGTCTGGTTCTGGGTCCGGTCTGCTCCTGGTTCTAACTGGTTCTGTGTGGTTTCAGGGTGAGCTCTGCCTCCTGGTACTTCCTCAATGTGTTTGGACTCCGCAGGATGTACGGACTAGTCCTGGGACACGACAACTGTAAGTCTGGTTCAGTCCTGGTTCAGTCCTGGTTCAGTCCTGTTTAGTCTGGTTTAGTCCTGGTTCAGTCCTGGTTTAGTCTTGGTTTAGTCCTGGTTCAGTCCTGGTTTAGTCTTAGTTTAGTCCTGGTTCAGTCCTGGTTCAGTCCTGGTTTGGACCTGGTTTAGTCCTGGTTCTGTCTTGCAGATGTGGACCAGACTCAGATCCTCCAGGAGCAGATGACGGGCTCGGCCATGAACATGCCCCCGGACCCCAACAAGGCCTTCAAGGTCAGACTCTGGGCTCGGATTTATTTCAGTCTGTGGGAATAGTTTGGGTCAAGTCTTCAGGTCTAGTCTTTCCTCGCTTTGTTTTAGATCTTTCTTAAGTCTGTCCTGGTCCACAGAGCGAGTGGGAGGCGCTGCAGGTGGTGGAACACAAGTGGGCTCTGGAGAACGTCGAGGAGGAACTGATGGCCCACAACCTGGACCTGAGCTCCCACTGAGGACTACAGGAGGACTACAGGAGGACTACAGGAGGACTACAGGAGGACTACAGGAGGACTACAGGAGGATTACAAGAGACCTACCTGAGGACTATTTTAGGACTACCTAAGGACTACAAGAGGACTACCTGAGAGGATAACGTGAGGACTACAAGAGGACTACAGGTCTACCTGAGGACTACAAGAGGACTACAGGTCTACCTGAGGACTACAAGAGGACTACAGGACTACAAGAGGACTACAAGAGGACTACCTGAGGACTACAAGAGGACTACAGGTCTACCTGAGGACTACAAGAGGACTACAGGTCTACCTGAGGACTACAAGAGGACTAACTGGGGACCTGCCTTAAAACCAAAGAGATGCAGTAATAATTTTATATTGTAAAGAATTTGTTAAACTATGTGTTTAATATTTTGCCAAAGACGTGTTTTAAAAGTGTTTGTTAAAATGTCAAATAAATCCTGAAAAGTTCATCCTGCCTCGGTGCTGCTCAAACATTTGCGTTAGAATAAACTGATAACTGCACTTGAAATAAGACGCAGCTTGAAAAGTCGCCTTGGATTCTACCTGGACGACTGAGGAATTCTTCACTTTCTTCGTAACTTAGACCGTGTTAAAAGTATTGAAAATCTTACACTAATCAGTAATAAAAATGTATAAAAACTACATTTTCACTGGTGTCGATACTAAATACAAATAAATAAAAACAGTCCCACTGACAGGACAGAGCAGAAACATTCCTGAATGTCTTTAGAAGAATCTTTATCTGCATCAGAACAAGTATAAGACCACAGAGACGAGTATACACCATGTACCCGGTTTAGACCTGGTTTAGACCTGGTTTAGACCTGGTTTAGACCCGGTTTAGACCCGGTTTAGACCTGGTTTAGACCTGGTTTAGACCTGGTTTAGACCTGGACCACTGGGATTACACAGATATAAGGAATGGAAAAGAAAGTTCTACTGTTTAATGTGGAGAATCACAGAATATTCAGTCTAATTAAAAATACTTTTTTAATCGTGATCTCAAAATCAGTATTGAGTATTAAGTCTTTTCCTTAGTGAGTTTGATATTTTTATATTTTGTTAATGCTGTCACTGTCAGATCAGTTTTGTTGCCGTCAGAAAATAATCCGGCTCACCTCACTGTTCAAAGGAATCAGATCATTATAATAATAATGGATCAGATTTATAAAGTGATTTTATTTTGGACACTCAGAGAAGTTTTACAGAGCATTCTTCACTCACTCTACACACACTGGTGCTGAGCCTTTATCATAGTCATGTAACTCAGTTCATACTTGATAAAGTGGTTGTTTTGTCTTTCCTGAGGACACAGCGCCCCCTGTGGCGTCTGGACTTACCAGCGTCTCCCGTCCGAGCACGAACCAGGTCCTGTCATCTTCTGATCTGAAGAGATCAGGTTTGGACCGGCTGCTGTGGTCACACAAATAAACCCCTGACTCACAGTTCAGTGATTTCACTGCACAAGTGTCTGGAAGTGTGGTTTTTATGGTCCTACAGCGCCCCCCAGTGGACAATAACACAAACAGTCAAAGCTCCGGTGATCAGAGGCGGGTTTACTCACTCACATTTATACAAAAACAAGTTTTCACAAAACCTTATGTTGTTTTATGTTGACATTATCTACATTACTTCATGATTTGAACACTGACCAATCAAGATGAAAACTATATTGACTTAATATACTTAAAAAGTTGAAACAATATAATCATCGTGAGTGTATTTTTTTCTTCAACAGTGGTGAGATTTTTGCCATTTTTATGCAATATCATAAGATTTAAGATAGAAGATTTGAGCTTGAGGTAGAATAAATAAATAAAAATGACTTGACTGGGATTCTCCAACTCATTATTAATGTTCATCAGTGTTTCTTTGTTGAACTATTGTCATTGTGACAGGTCGATTTAAAGACTTATATTTTCTACCCCCCTCCCTTTATATGAGAGTTAAAGTTGTATTTTATAAAACACAGACAGCAGAGGTGCTTTTGTTTGCAGTTTATTGTCACAGAACAGAAACTGAAGAGAATGAGAGTAAAAAAAACTCACAGATATGATCAAAATAACAGTGGATAAATGCTGATTAAAACAGGTATAAAAGTAAAAGAACATATATGATTTAGAGTTTAAGATGGTCACAGAGACACGCCCCACATCAAACCGACCGCTCGTGTTTGTCGTCATTTTGGAGGGTTTTTATATTTTATAAAAGACATCGTCAATAAAGATTTAACCAAACCTCTTCTCAGATAAACCTACAGAAATGCAGTGGTGGAAGAAGTAAAAATACAGATACCAGAGCAAAAACAAAATGTAAGTACCTGTTTAAAAATGTACTTTAAACTTTCAAATGAAGTGATTTTTTGATACAGGTTTGTGCTGAATTTTGAATTTTCTTCAACAAGAAACATGAGAATTTCTGTTTTTCTTTGTATATTTGTGTTTGCTTGGACTACAAACATGTTAAAAATTTACCTTCAGCTTTTTCTGCAGGTCTGAAACCAACGAAAAATACTTTTATTTGTCAGTCCTGTTCAAAAATGTAGTGGAGTAAAAGTCTAAAAAGTATTATTAAATGTACAGATATTTCAAATTTATACTTATATTTAGTGCCTTACTGCTTTTACTTTGTTATTTTCCACCACTGCACAAATGTAAAAGGAGGGAGGAGAGGAATAAAGGAGCAGGGTGACCAGGTTTTCAAAATTCATTTTCTGTTTTTTGGCTAAATAATTGATAATTTATGCTCCTCTTTAATGTTGGCAGGGATCAATTAATCTAAAATTCTGATAGTCCTGTTTTAGTCCTAGTTTAGTCCTGTTTTAGTCCTAGATTGGTCCTGTTTTAGACCTAATTTAGTCCTGTTTTAGTCCTAGTTTAGACCTGTTTTAGTCCTAGATTGGTCCTGTTTTAGACCTAATTTAGTCCTGTTTTAGTCCTAGTTTAGACCTGTTTTAATCCTGGTTTAGATTGGTCAAAAATAGGGACACCTGGGACATTTCTTGTATAAAACTTGGACAAATCAGTAGGTTTTGGATGAGTCTGGGACAGGGGACACAGGACTTAAACCTGAACCGTCCTGGGTAAATCAAATCTTTCTTTTCACCCTAAACTGGAGCCGCAGCAGTGAAACGTGGGGCGAGCGTGTGACTTTTGTGTGACTGTGGCGTGAGTCTCAGTGGGGTTTGTTGTTGGTGTTGTACTGGATGGCGTCCAGAGCCGCTCCGATGTCGCCTCCTTTGGCCTGGAGCAGTCGGGTCAGCCACCCCCCCTCGTCTGTGAAGCCCATGGACAACATGTGGGACAGCGCCTCCACCAGGCGAGGGTCCGCCTCTGCAGCAAACAAGAACACAACACCTGAACGTGAGTGACAGGGACGTTTAGAGACACTTCACCTGGACATGTCTGTGTGTCTATGTGTGTGTGACAGGGACGCTTCACCTGGACATGTGTGTGTGTCTATGTGTGTGTGACAGGGTCTCTTCACTTGTATGTTTGTGTGTGACAGGGTCTCTTCACCTGTCCGTGTGTGTGTGACAGGGTTCTCTTCACCTGTCCGTGTGTGTGTGACTATGTGTGTGTGACAGGGTCTCTTTCACCTGTATGTTTGTGTGTGACAGGGACGCTTCACCTGTCCGTGTGTGTGTGACAGGGACTCTTCACCTGTCAGTGTGTGTGTGACAGGGACGCTTCACCTGTATTTGTGTGTGTGACAGGGTCTCTTCACCTGTCCATGTGTGTGTGACAGGGACGCTTCACCTGTATGTTTGTGTGTGACAGGGACACTTCACCTGTCCATGTGTGTGTGACAGGGACGCTTCACCTGTCCATGTGTGTGTGACAGGGACGCTTCACCTGTCAGTGTGTGTGTGACAGGGTCTCTTCACCTGTCAGTGTGTGTGTGACAGGGTCTCTTCACCTGTCAGTGTGTGTGTGACAGGGTCTCTTCACCTGTGTGTGTGTGTGACAGGGTCTCTTCACCTGTCAGTGTGTGTGTGACAGGGTCTCTTCACCTGTCAGTGTGTGTGTGACAGGGTCTCTTCACCTGTCAGTGTGTGTGTGACAGGGTCTCTTCACCTGTCAGTGTGTCCGTGTGTGTGACAGGGTCTCTTCACCTGTCAGTGTGTGTGTGACAGGGTCTCTTCACCTGTCAGTGTGTGTGTGTGCAGGTGACAGGGTCTCTTCACCTGTCAGTGTGTGTGTGACAGGGTCTCTTCACCTGTCAGTGTGTGTGTGACAGGGTCTCTTCACCTGTCAGTGTGTGTGTGACAGGGTCGTACCTTCGGGCAGGTGGGGGTAGAGCGCTGCCTCTCTGAGTCCGCTCGGTCCCTGGTCTGGTTTGGGGGCGGGGCGTTGGTCTGGTTTGGGGGCGGGGCGTTGGTCTGGTTTGGGGGCGGGGCGTTGGTCTAGTTTGGGGACGGGGCGTTGGTCTGGTTTGGGGACGGGGCCCTGGTTCTGGGTGGACCTGGGTTTGGGGCTGGGGGGCTCCTCCAGGTCCTGGTCCAGGTCCTGGTCCAGGTCTTGGTCCAGGTCCTGGTCCAGGTCTTTAGGATCCAGAGACTGGAGTTCTCCGGTGGACGGGTCCACCTCCTTACAGCACAGGTCGGTCCACTCCTCGTCTGAGCCGCTCTGACCAAACAAAACACAAACACATCAAGTCTCAAAAACATCGTCAAAAACTACAACAGGAACACGACATCGAGGGATGTGACGATATTCAAATCTCTCTGTACCATATTTTCACGATGTACATCTCACGGTACGATATTGTAGAGCAGGACTAGAGCAGGACTATACTGACCGCTGCTGGAGCCTCGTTAGCTCCGCCCTCTCCTTCGGCAGCTCCGCCCTCTCCTTCAGTAGCCCCGCCCTCTCCCGCCTCCATGTCCACGTCTGCGCTCTGACTGGGCGGAGTCACTTTGGTGCGCTGGCCCTCGTGCTCCACGTCGATGTCCACGTCGATCCCTGCGACACAACGAGTCGAGGATAAACACACACGAGTGACAAACGGACTAAACGTGTGAACCGCTGTTTGTTTGTTTGTTTGTTTTTGTTATTAGAACTCACCCAGAGGACTCAACATGGCCGCCACTCCTTCTCCAATGTTCTTCAGGAAATCCACGTTGGTCTGGGCCTCTGAAAAAAAGACAAGAATACAGAAATTAGAGTAGAACAAAGACTAAAACAGGACTAAACAAGGACTAAAGCAGGACTAAAACAAGGACTAAAGCAGGACTAAAACAGGACTAAACAAGAACTAAAGCAGGACTAAAACAGGACTAAATCTGGACTAGACCAGGTCCCTGTCAGGTCTGAGGGTGCAGGACTCACCAGAGGAGGGTCCGGGCTGCTCGGGTCCAGGGTTGGTCTCTCCGTTGGGGGGGTTCTGGGCCTGGTTGAAGTTCTGGGCTCCACGGTTCTGGTTCAACATGCAGTGCCTCATCCACTTCATCCACTTCCCCCGAGGGAACCACTGCTGAAGTACAAATACTTCTGTTACTACAAACTACTACTACTACTACTATTGAAGGACAAATACTTCTGTTACTACAAACTACTAACTACTACTACTACTATGAGAAACAAATACTTCTGTTACTACAAAAAACACTACTACTACTACTACTACTACTACTACTACTACTACTACTACTACTACTACTACTACTACTACTACTACTACTACTAAATATATAGTATTACTACTACTTCAACTATTACCACTGTTACTACATGTATTAGTAATTACAGCTACTACTATTACTACTGTTATTACAACTACGAGTACTTTAACTACTACTCTTACTACTACAAGAACTGCAAATATAACCTACTACTACTACTACTACTACTACTACTACTACTACTACTACTACTACTACTTACTATAATCATCCCACTACTACAGCCACTACTGTTCCTGCCACTGCTCAAATCCACTTTTACTTTTACTACTACAGTACAAGTATTACTGTCCTCACTACAGTCCCCCTCCCCAGTACTTTTACTCCTGTGAGTACCACAGTGACAGTACTTTTACTCCTGTGAGTACTACAGTGACAGTACTTTAACTCCTGTGAGTACCACAGTGACAGTACTTTTACTCCTGTGAGTACCACAGTGACAGTACTTTTACTCCTGTGAGTACCACAGTGACAGTACTTTTACTCCTGTGAGTACTACAGTGACAGTACTTTTACTCCTGTGAGTACCACAGCGAGCGCCCTGGTGAGTACCTGGATGGGGTGCCAGATGGGCAGCAGCACGTGCTCGGTGTGGACTCCTTTGGCCTGGCAGGTGGCGCACAGGTCGTAGTTGGGGCAGACGGAGCACTTGAAGCGGGTCCCTGCGACAGGTCCCTCGCACCCGTCACAGGTCACCCCGGGGTGCACCGCCGGGGGGCACTGCGGCCCGAACGGCCCGAACGGGGGCAGTCCGGGAGGAGGGATGTGGGGCCCGTGGGGCCCGTGAGGCCCGGGGGGTCCAGGCGGTGGTGGTGGTGGTGGGCCGTGTGGGCCTGGGGGCGGGGCATGAGGGCCAGGGGGCGGGGCATGGTGAAAAGGCGGGAATCCAAACGGAGGGAAAGCGTGAGCGGGAAAGTCACGACGATGCTCCTTTTTCTCTGGAAACACAAGAAAAACAGGAGTCAGGCATGATACTGCTGGTACTAGTACTGCTACCCGTACTACTAATGAAACTATTACTGCTACTGCTAGTACTTCTAAACATACTACTAATGAAACTATTACTGCTACTGCTACTTGACTACTACTGCTACTGCTACTACTCTACTAACATACTACTAATGAAACTACTACTGCTACTGCTAGTACTTCTAACTACTACTACTAATGAAACTACTACTGCTACTGCTAGTACTTCTAAACATACTACTAATGAAACTACTACTGCTACTGCTAGTACTTCTAAACATACTACTAATGAAACTACTACTGCTACTGCTACTTGTACTAGTAATGAAACTACTACTGCTACTGCTAGTACTTCTACTTGTACTAGTAATGAAACTACTACTACTAGTACTTCTACTTGTACTAGTAATGAAACTACTACTGCTAGTACTTTTACTTGTACTAGTAATGAAACTACTACTGCTACTGCTAGTACTTCTAAACATACTACTAATGAAACTACTACTGCTACTGCTACTTGTACTAGTAATGAAACTACTACTGCACAGACTTTTGTACCTTTGACATCAACAAATTTCATTCATCACAGATGAAAATAAAACAATTATGTTTCATCAATGTGAATGAAAAGGAGCAGAAAAAAGTTTAAATTCGTGTAATATTTGCCTCTTTTCACGCAAAACATTTAAACATTTATTCTTTATTCTTTGCATTGATTTGACGGTTGTTTGACATTTGGACAAGGTGATTTTTACAAGAGTGAGAAAGTTGGACGCACGAAAAAAGCTCAACACCTGAAACGTCTCCAGTCACACTTGTACTTGTATTTAAGAATCAAAGTTATCGAAAAGAGATGTTCTGCCGCTCCCGTTTTGACTTTTTGTTTCCACCTCTGCTGTTCTTTCCTCTGTCATAAAACCACTGAGTCCAGAGTAAATACGACTGAAACGCTGAGTCATGCAAAGTCAGCAACAACAACACGAGGAGGTTTTAGGGAAAAGGCTCGGTGCAGAGTTAAAACGACTCGGCGCAGAGTTAAAACGACTCGGCGCAGAGTTAAAACGACTCGGCGCAGGGTTAAAACGACTCGGCGCAGAGTTAAAACGACTCGGCGCAGAGTTAAAACGACTCGGCGCAGAGTTAAAACGACTCGGCGCAGGGTTAAAACGACTCGGCGCAGAGTTAAAACGACTCGGCGCAGGGTTAAAACGACTCGGCGCAGAGTTAAAACGACTCGGCGCAGAGTTAAAACGACTCGGCGCAGAGAGGGTTAAAAACGACTCGGCGCAGAGGACTCGGGTAAAACGACTCGGCGCAGAGTTAAAACGACTCGGTGTTAAAAGGACTCGGTGGGGGAGTTACCTTTGATGTAGAGTCTGAAGGTGTTGTCTTTGACACAGGCCAGAGCCATGACCAGCTCATCGTCCGAGGAAAACGCCACCATGTCCTCGTCCTCATCTGAAACACAAACACAGTGAGAACAGAACAGGACTGGACCAGGACTAAAGAAGGACTGAGCCAGGACTGAGCCAGGACTGGAGCCAGGACTGAGCAAGGACTGAGCCAGGACTGAAAAGGACTGAAGGACTGAAGGACTGAAGGACTGAGCCAGGACTGAGCCAGGACTGAGCCAGGACTGAGCCAGGACTGAGCCAGGACTAAAGAAAGACTAAAAAAGGACTGAACCAGGACTAAAGAAAGGGTAAATTAGGACTGAACCAGGACTGGACCAGGACTAAAAAAGAACTAAAGCAGGACTGAACCAAGACCGGACCAGAAATAAAGAAGGACTAAACCAAGAACTAAACCAGGACTGAAGAAGGACTAAAAAAGGACTGAATCAGGACTAAACAAAGGGTAAACTAGAACTGAACCAGGACTGAACCAGGACTAAAGAAGGACTGGAGGACCAGGTCTGAACCAGGTCTAAACCAGGAAACTAACCAGGTAAACCAGGTCTAAACCAGGACTACCAGGTCTAAAACCAGGTCTAAACCAGGTCTAAACCAGGTCTAAACCAGGTCTAAACCAGGTCTAAACCAGGTCTAAACCAGGACTAAACCAGGACTAAACCAGGTCTAAACCAGGACTAAACCAGGACTAAACCAGGTCTAAACCAGGTCTAAACCAGGACTAAACCAGGACTAAACCAGGACTAAACCAGGTCTAAACCAGGTCTAAACCAGGACTAAACCAGGACTAAACCAGGTCTAAACCAGGTCTAAACCAGGTCTAAACCAGGTCTAAACCAGGACTAAACAGGACTAAACCAGGTCTAAACCAGGACTAAACCAGGTCTAACCAGGTCTAAACCAGGACTAAACCAGGTCTAAACCAGGTCTAAACCAGGTCTAAACCAGGACTAAACCAGGACTAAACCAGGTCTAAACCAGGACTAAACCAGGTCTAAACCAGACTAAACCAGGACTAAACCAGGACTAAACCAGGACTAAACCAGGACTAAACCAGGTCTAAACCAGGACTAAACCAGGACTAAACCAGGTCTAAACCAGGACTAAACCAGGTCTAAACCAGGACTAAACCAGGTCTAAACAAAAAAAAAAAAAAACAACAACACAAAACCGGAACATTTGTAAACAATGGGGAGGAAACAATCTTCCAGACCTGATTCGACCTTTGAACTGTTGATTTAGAGTAAAACATTCACCAGGACTAAACCAGATCTAAACCGGGACCAGAGCGGGACCTCGAGTCGCGCTGTCGGACCTCGAGTCGTGCTGTCGGCGTGACGTGTGTGTGGTTCTGGGTCATGGGGCAGACTCGGGGCTGGATGGTCCAGTTGAACCTGTTCTGCTCCGAGCGACACCGACACTCGGATTTTTCTCTAAACACATTTTCTACCATCTTCTTCTCCAAACTTTAAGACGGTGTAAGCAAAAATAAGTGTATTATTATTGTATTATTGTGTTATTATTGTGTTATTATTGTGTTATTAATATGGATTATTTTGTGTTATTCATGAATCATTGAAATGTGATTAAAGATAATAATAATTAACCAAAGAAAATAAATAAACTTAGTACAAACTAATTAACTAGGCCTGGTTTAGTTCCTGTTTACATCCACTTTAGTCCTGGTTTGGTCCTGGTTTGGTCCTGGTTTAGTCCTGGTTTAGTTCTGGTTTGGTCCTGGTTTGGTCCTGGTTTGGTCCTGGTTTAGTTCTGTTTTTCTGGTTTGGTTTAGTCCTGGTTTAGTCCTGGTTTAGTCCTGGTTTTCCTGGTTTAGTCCTGGTTTAGTTCTGTTTTGGTCTGGTTTGGTCCTGGTTTCCTGGTTTAGTCCTGGTTTAGTCCTGGTTTAGTCCTGGTTTAGTCCTGGTTTGGTCCTGGTTTGGTCCTGGTTTAGTCCTGGTTTAGTCCTGGTTTGGTCCTGGTTTGGTCCTGGTTTAGTTCTGTTTTGGTCTGGTTTAGTCCTGGTTTAGTCCTGGTTTGGTCCTGGTTTGGTCCTGGTTTAGTCCTGGTTTAGTTCTGTTTTGGTCCTGGTTTAGTTCTGTTTTGGTCCTGGTTTAGTCCTGGTTTAGTCCTGGTTTAGTCCTGGTTTAGACCTGGTTTAGACCTGGTTTAGACCTGGTTTAGACCTGGTTTAGTCCTGGTTTAGTCCTGGTTTAGTCCTGGTTTAGTCCTGTTTTGGTCCTGGTTTAGTCCTGGTTTAGTTCTGTTTTGGTCCTGGTTTAGTCCTGGTTTAGTCCTGGTTTGGTCCTGGTTTGGTCCTGGTTTGGTCCTGGTTTGGTCCTGGTTTGGTCCTGGTTTAGGTCTGGTGTAGTCCTGGTTTTAATCTTGGTTCAGTCCTGGTTCAGTCCTGGTTTAGTCCTGGTTTGGTCTTGGTTTAGTCCTGTTTTGGTCCTGGTTTAGTTCTGTTTTGGTCCTGGTTTAGTTCTGTTTTGGTCCTGGTTTAGTTCTGTTTTGGTCCTGGTTTAGTCGTGGTTTAGTCCTGGTTCGGTCTTGGTTTAGTCCTGTTTTGGTCCTGGTTTAGTCCTGGTTTAGTTCTGTTTTGGTCCTGTTTTGGTCCTGGTTTAGTCGTGGTTTAGTCCTAGTTTAGTCCTGGTTTAGTCCTGGTTTAGTCCTGGTTTGGTCCTGGTTTAGGTCTGGTGTAGTCCTGGTTTTAATCTTGGTTCAGTCCTGGTTCAGTCCTGGTCTAGTCCTGGTCCTGGTCCTGGTCCTGGTCCTGGTCCGGTACCTTTGTAGAAGAGGGTGAAGGGCAGGTTCTGCAGGTGGCTGAAAGCCGCCGTCACTTTTCGGGTCAGGTACTCGAAGCTGGCGCTGACGTCGTGGTCCACGGTGAAACGCCGGATCTCCTTCACCGCGTCGTCTTTACCGAGCAGGTACGACTTCACCGTCACCGCCATGTCCGCCACGACTACGGCCGCACGGGAGGGACAAAACACACGCCGGTTATTTACACTCAAACTGAAAACACAAACTGAAAACGTTCCACCTTGTGATGTCACCAGGTCCACTCCGAGTCCTGGTTTAGTCCTGATGAAGTCCGTCCTAAAGTCTGGTTTAGTTCGTGTTTACACCTGGTCTAGTCTTGGTTTTAGACCTGGTTTAGTCCCTGGTTTAGACCTGGTTTAGTCTCTGGTTTAGTCCTGGTTTAGATCTGATTCAGTCCTGGTTTAGCACTGGTTTAGATCTGGTTTAGACCTAGTTTAGCCCTGGTGTGGTCCTGGTTTAGTTCCTGTTTACACCTGGTTTAGTCCCTGGGTTAGATCTGATTAAATCCTGGTCTAGTCTTGGTTTAGTTTTGGTTTAGGCCTGGTCCAGTCCTGGTCCAGTCTTGATTTAGACCTGATGTAGTCCTGCATTAGTCTTGGTTTAGTCCTGGTTTAGTTCTAGTTTAATCCTGATTCAATCCTGCTTTAGATCTGATGTAGTCCTGGTTTAGACCTGGTTTAGTCCTGATATAGTCCTGATATAGTCCTGGTTTTTAGTCCTGGTTTAGTTCTAGTTAAGTCCTGGTTTAGACCTGATGTAGTTCTGGTTTAGTCCTGATTCAAGTCCTGCTTTAGTCCTGGTTTAGTCTTTGATTAGTCCTACTTTAGACCTGGTTTAGACGTACTTTAGTCTTAGTTTATTCCTGGTTCACTCCTGAATAAACCCTGGTTTAGTCCTGGTTAAGTCTCAGATTAGTCCTGGTTTAGTCCTGGTTTAGTCCTGGTTTAGTGGTTTAGTTTTAGTTTTAGACCTGGTTTAGTCCTGGTTTAGTCCTGGTTTAGTCCTGGTTTAGTCTGGTTTAGTCCTGGTTTAGACCTGGTTTAGTCCTGGTTTAGTCCTGGTTTAGTCCTGGTTTAGTCCTGGTTTAGTCCTGGTTTAGACATGGTTTAGACCTGGTTTAGTCTGGTTTAGTCCTGGTTTAGTCCTGGTTTAGTCCTGGTTTAGTCCTGGTTTAGACCTGGTTTAGTCCTGGTTTAGTCCTGGTTTAGTCCTGGTTTAGTCCTGGTTTAGTCCTGGTTTTAGACATGGTTTAGACCTGGTTTAGTCCTGGTTTAGTCCTGGTTTAGTCCTGGTTTAGTCCTGGTTTAGTTTTAGACCTGGTTTAGTCCTGGTTTAGTCCTGGTTAGTCCTGGTTTAGTCCTGGTTTAGTGGTTTAGACATGGTTTAGTCCTGGTTTAGTCCTGGTTTAGTCCTGGTTTAGTCCTGGTTTAGTCCTGGTTTAGTCCTGATGAGTGTAGTTATTTGTTTTTTTTAGGTAGGGCATCAGGTATAAAATCAAATCTGGTCACGCATGTTTGACTTGTAAACACAGAGGAATGATACAAGATAAGGACCGAGTCTAAACTTGGACAAGCAGGTTTCAGGACTTCAGATCTGGGACACGCCCGAGTCTGGATCGTTGGTACAAATACAAAATTGTTTAAATAAAAAGAGTGAGAAATGCTGTGGCTTCTCCTCGTGATCTGAGACTTTATCCTCGATCACAAACACAATTTTCTGTTTTTTTGTGAAACAAATTATAATTTATGATCCTGTTTAGTTTTGGTGAGAATCAGATTAGATAAACATTGTGACAGTGCAGTTTTAGTCCTGGTTCAGTCCTGGTGTAGACCTGGTTTAGTCCTGATATAGTGCTGGTTTAGATCTGGTTCAGTCCTGGTTTAGTCCTGCTTTAGTTCCGTTTTAGGCCTGATATAGTCTTGGTTTAGTCCTGTTTGAGACCTGGTTTAGTCCTGACGAAGTCCTGGTTTAGTCTTAGTTTAGTCCTGGTGTAGTCCTGGTTTAGTCCTGGTTGAGACCTGGTCTAGACCTGGTTCAGTCCCGATTTAGTCCCGACTTAGTCCTGGTTCAGTCCTAGTTTAGTCCTGTTTGAGACCTGGTTTAGTCCTGACGTAGTCCTGATTTAGTCTTAGTTTAGTCCTGGTTGAGACCTGGTGTAGTCCTGGTTTAGTCCTGGTTGAGACCTGGTTTAGACCTGGTTCAGTCCCGATTTAGTCCCGACTTAGTCCTGGTTCAGTCCTAGTTTAGTCCTAGTTTAGTCCTGTTTGAGACCTGGTTTAGTCCTGACGTAGTCCTGGTTTAGTCCTGATGTAGTCCTGGTTTAGTCTTAGTTTAGTCCTGGTTTAGACCTGGTTGAGACCTGGTTGAGACCTGGTGTAGTCCTGGTGTAGTCCTGGTTTAGTCCTGGTTTTAGTCCTTTTAGTCCTTTTGAGACCTGGTTTAAGTCCTGACGTAGTCCTGGTTTAGACCTGATGTAATCCTGATGTAATCCTGATGTAGTCCCGCTTTAGTCTTATCTTAGACCTGCTTTAGTCCTGATGTAGTCCTGGTTTAGATCTAACTGGTCAAAAATAACGACACCTATAACATTTCTTGTATAAAATCTTTTTTTTTTTTTTCAATAAATCCGCTGGAACACGAGACCCAGGACTCAAAACCTGGACTGCCTCGGGTCAGTCGGGACTAAGACTCGGGTCACTCTGGTCCTAAACCGAACGCCACGACACAAACACGGAAGTGACCGAGCGCACGTGATAAACACCAACTACGCAGTAATAAAAACAAGACCAGATCCGGGACTAAACCAGGACTAACCCGGGTCTACGTGCACGTTTAAAGTTTTTTAAGCATTTTATTTAGTATTTTACCTAAAACAATTACAATTTATGCCTCTATTTACTGCAAAAAATGATAAAATTGGTCAAAAAATAGCGATACGTGCGATTTTTGCTGCGTAAAACTTGGAGAAATTTATGGTTTTTGGATAAATCTGGTTGGATAAGGGACACAGGGCTGAAAACTCGGACTGTCCCGGGTAAACAGAGGCGTGTGGACACCTTAAATAAAAAAATTTTCGTAAATAAAGATAATTTAAAGACGCGTACTCACTGCAGAAGACGCCGGGAGCTCTGAGATCAGACCGTATCCGGGGTTTTGGATGAGTTCGAGCGAACACTTTTACGCACGGGACCTCGCCGGAGACAAAGCTGCGCACTGAGACAACAGTGTGCGGGAGCAGGAGTTTGACGCAGCGCAAAAAATCCTGGCCGCTTATGTTTACAAAGTGAGCGCGCTCCCATAGGCCGTGCCGTGCCAGACTTCCGGGGCGCGGGCCAATCCGAGGCGAGGCGAGCGCGGACGGGGGGGCAGTGGGGGAGAGTCAGCTGAGCGTGAGTCAGAGCCGGGCCACAGCGCTGAGTCACTGTGAATCCAGACCTTTGGACCTCAAAAGTGGATTTATGAAGGAGTTTTGTGCGCTGCAAACGTTATTTAATTGATTTATAATGTTATTTATAAAGACGTGCGCGTTAAAAGTGTGAAACTGCGTGCGTAATTGTGAAAATGGTTCCGCATTTGGCACCAACAACATGAGTCAGTATAGTCACATTTTCTTTGTGTTTTGGTCGTTTTGAAGCAGCTTTTCTGTATTTTAACTGAATAAATCAACAATGTATGCCTCTTTTTTACTGTTTTTAGGCATAAAATCGGTAATTTTATAAACATGACCGTTTCCAAAGTGCTGCACAGACAAATTAATGCAATAAAAAACAGTCAATAATAAATAAAAACAATAAATAAACAGTGTTTAAAAAAAAAGAAAAAGAATAATAAATAATTTATAAATCAATAAATTAATGACATTATTAAGTTAAAATTAAAGACAAGGTGATGAAGATGATGAAAGGAAAAGATTATGGTTTAGTTTAGACCTGAAATAGACCTGGTTTAGACCTGGTTTTAGTCCTGGTTTTAGTCCATGTTTAGACCTGAAATAGACCTGAAATAGTCCTGGTTTTAATTCTAGTTTAGACCTGGTTTAGACCAGAAATAGACCTGGTTTAGTCCTTGATTTTAGTCCAAGTTTAGACCTGGTTTAGACCCAAAATAGTCCAAGTTTAGACCTGGTTTAAACCTGAAATAAACCTGAAATAGACCTGGTTTTAATTCTAGTTTAGACCTGGTTTGACATGAAATCATCTTGGTATTTTCAAAATAAAAAACTGGGACGTCCCTTTCCTGTGGTGGTTGGTAATTATAAAATTGTAAAATGAGTGAGTGATTATGAAAATTATTCTGCACTTGGCACAAACATGAGTCAGTACAGTCACATTTTCATTGTGTTTTGGTCATTTTTAAGCAGCTTTTCTGTGTTTTAACCGAATAAATCAACAATTTATGTCACTTTTTACAGTTTTTAGGCATCAGATTTGTCAAAAATAGAGACACATGGGACATTTCTTGCATAAAACTGGGATAAATTTATGGTTTTGAATAAATCTGCTGGGACAGGGGACACAGGCTCAACACTGGGACTGTCTCGGGTCTAAAGGGACGTCTGGTCACACTGTGCAAACATGATCTCATATATTTATACAATTCAATTCACTTTATTATATCTACAGCACAGTTTATAAACATGACCGTTTTACAAAGTGCTGCACAGACAAATGAACATAATAAAAGATAGTCAATCATAAATAAAAAACAATAAATAAAAAGTGTTAAAATGCATAAAGCTAAAAATAAATAAATAAATAAAATAAAGAATAATAAATATAAATACATAAATACAATTATTAAGTTCAAATTAAAGACACGATGATGAAGATGATGAAAGGAAATGATTATGGTTTTGTTTAGACCTGAAATAGACCTGGTTTAGACCTGGTTTAGTCCTGGTTTAGACCTGGTTTAGTCTTAGTTTAGACCTGGTTTAGTCCTGTTTTAGTCCTGGTTTAGACCTGATGTAGTCCTGGTTTAGTCCTGGTTTAGTCTTAGTTTAGACAACAATGAAACAAAACAAAACTTCAAGTTTGTTTGTGATGAGGAAACTAGATTAAAACACAGAAAAACATCTGAAAAAAAAACATAAAATGGTCTTTTAAGTCCCTCACAGACATGATCAGGCTGCACATTCTGCTCTTATCCTGTTGCAAAAGTTTGTATTCACTCTGTTTGTTTGTTTTGCCTGATCACAAGATGAGGGAAAACCCCGAGTCACGTCCTTCTCAGAGTGTGACGTAATCTCCTTCTGGAACCTGCCACGTACGTTTCACTGCACAGTTCATCATTACATCATAATAAAAAAAAAAAAACAGGTCAAGTTCATCATTACAGCTCAATAAAAGTGAAAAAAGAGCTAAAATTCATCGTTACATCATAATAAAACTGAAAAAAAGAGCTCTAATTCATCATTATAACACAATAAAAGTGAAAAAAGAGCTCAAATTTATGATTACAACGCAATAAAAGTGAAAAAAGAGCTCAAATTCATCATCACATCATAATAAAAGTGAAAAAAGAGCTCAAATTCATCATTACATCACAATAAAAGTGAAAAAGAGCTAAAATTCATCATTGCATCATAATAAAACAGAAAAAAGAGCTCTAATTCATCATTATAACACAATAAAAGTGAAAAAATAGCTCAAATTTATGATAACAATGCGATAAAATTGAAAAAAGAGCTCAAATTCATCATTATAGCACAATAAAAGTGAAAAAAGAGCTCAAATTCATCATTATAGCACAATAAAAGTGAAAAAAGAGCTCAAATTCATCATTATAGCACAATAAAAGTGAAAAAAGAGCTCAAATTCATCATTATAGCGCAATAAAAGTGAAAAAAGAGCTCAAATTCATCATTACATTGCAATAAAAGTGAAAAAAGAGCTCAAATTCATCATTACATTGCAATAAAAGTGAAAAAAAGAGCTCAAATTCATCATTACAAAGCAATAAAAGTGAAAAAAGAGCTCAAATTCATCATTACATCATAATAAAAGTGAAAAAAACAGCTCAAATTCATCATTACATCATAATAAAAGTGAAAAAAAAACAGCTCAAATTCATCATTACATCATAATAAAAGTGAAAAAAAGAGTTCAAATTCATCATTATAGCACAATAAAAGTGAAAAAAGAGCTCAAATTCATCATTACAGTGCAATAAAAGTGAAAAAAGAGCTCAAATTCATCATTACATCATAATAAAAGTGAAAAAAAGAGCTCAAATTCATCATTACAGTGCAATACAAACTGGAAAAAACTAAACAAAACAAAACAAAACAGCACAAAATCCAAATCAATGAACCTGATATTACAAAAGAAAGTAGTGGAGCCTGAGTTTTGAGTAGAGAAAAGTCCTCAAAATGGCGCCTGTGAACAAGAAGAAGAAATCTGTTTATATAAAATGTCTGAGAATGTAGGTCACATGTTTAGAGCTGAGGTAGTCCTGATTTAGTCTTAGTTTAGACCTGGTTTAGTTTTAGTTTAGTTCTGGTTTAGTCCTGGTTTAGACCTGGTTTAGTTTTAGTTTAGTTCTGGTTTAGTCCTGGTTTAGACCTGGTTTAGTTTTAGTTTAGTCCTGGTTTAGTCCTGGTTTAGACTTTATTTGTACTTGAAGGTAAATTAGTTTTGCAGATTTGAGAGGCTGGTCTCACATTTCACTGTGCAACCAAGTTAAAGAAGTAAAAGTATAAAAATACTGTACTTAAGTATATATTTTAGGTACTTGAGTACATTTTAAAGTACATTATTTCTTTTACTTCACTGCATTTGAGAGCAGGTATCGGTACTTTCTACTGCACTAAACTTTTGAACAGGACTGAAAAGTAAAAAAAAGTATTTTTATTATAGTTTGAGAGCTGCTGAAAACGCTGTTTTTTTTTTTGTTTTGTTTTTTTTTTAAATCCAGGTCACAGTTTGAGCAGTTTTGAGCAAAATATACAAATATAAACTGATAGAAAAAACAAAATTCATTTTTTTATGTTGAACAAAATCTGTATCAAAATCTAAAAAGCTTTATTAGATTTATTTATTAGAAACTCTGTGCAAAATACTTTTACTTTTTACTCTTTAAGTACAATGACTACTTTAATACTTTTACTTAAGTCAATTTTTTTCATGTGGTACTTTTACTCCATTTATTTATTTATTAAGCTTCAGTATTTAGACTTTTACTTAAGTCCAAAAACTGAGTATTTTTTCCACCACTGGATCTTTAAACTCACTGTATCTGTCACAACAGAAATCTGCAGTTTAACAAGATTCGTTTTATCCACCAACATTTTTATCAAATATGACCTCTGACCTCTGACATTTAAACCCAAAACATCACAGAAGATTGTTTTATTAAACGAGCGGCAGGAGCAGAGCTGCAGAGGTGTGAGTCCTGTCAGTGAGGAGGAAGAAGAAGAGCAGGAGAGTCTGAGGTGAGACCTGCAGGACACAGAAGCACCAGCAGAGGGCGCTCGAAAGATCTGGGTCAAACTCACTCTGTACATAAGAGTGAGTCACTGCACAGTGTTGCTCTAGTGACTGTGCAGAATCACTGGTGGTGGAACATGATTCAGTAAAAGTAAAACTGTACAGTACTGTAAAAAAAAAAGAAAAAAGTCTTTACTTTACGTAAGTATGTTTTTAATGTGGATACTTTTGACTTTTACTTCACTACATTTGAGAGCAGGTATCTGTACTTTCTACAGTTTTGAACAGGACTGATAGATAAAAGTATTTTTGAATTAGTTTTTTAGTTAAAGTTAATTTATTTGATTCTTTTTAAAGGTATGACGACACAACATATTGTCTCTAAACTCTCAGAACATTTAACAGAGAAAGAAACAAACAAAACAGAGAACACAATTGTTAAAAACATTCAGTGTTCAAAAAATGAGGAAGAAGCAGAGTTTATTTTAACCCTGCCCCTACAACTTACAATATTTTATTTACATTCATGATCTTCAGTAGTTCAGGATGTTAAAGTGCATCTTTAGACATTTGACATTAGATAAGTTAGATGGAAAAAAATGTCTGAGATGTAATGGAAAGGCTTGGGGTTTATTTTTAACACATTCTAAATCAGAGGAAACAAAACAAAAAAAAAAAATAAAAAAATAATATATATAATATATAATATATACACAAAAATATATATATATAAACAAAAAAAAACAACAACAACTAGGAACAAAAAATAATTCCATTTAATTGCTTCTGTTGAACAAAATTCTGCACAAATCTGTATCAAAATCACAACATTCTAAACATTCTAGTCTTATAAAACCTCAAAATCTGCTCAAAATGATTTCACTTTTTCCTCTTTAAACTGGTACTCTCATATTTTAATTTAAGTAGATTTTTTCATGTGATACTTTTACTTTTACTTTACATTTTTCTGGTCTGCTCGCTCCCTGGACTGTTATAAAAATAAACGTGAAAGCGGAGATTTAATTTGGACAAAAACAAAACCAAAGCTCAAAGTTTCATTTGTGGAAAAACGAAAAGTGCAGATTCTTTCTTTAAAACCCGTCGTGTGATTAAACCGGTGAGTGTTTTTCTTTTTAGTTCTCCTTTCTATCTCCACATTTCTTTACTTTCCGTTTCCGTCCCAGTGCGCCGGATGCCCTCCCGTCCTTCCCGCACATCTGGGTTTTCTGTGGTCGCTGTTTCTGTTTTCTGAGTTTTTGTGGAAGAGGAAACATCAGTCCTGTACAGATGTGGAACAAAAAGTGAATTTGATAAAAGTAAGTGGCACTACACGATGAACACTGGACGGTTCAAATTTCAGGGTAAAAAAAAGTGTTATTTTAACTATTTGAAAGTTAAATGGGGGTTGGAGTTGGGGTTATTTGCCAGAGTTGAAGGTAATTAAACTTTCTTTGGTGTTAATTCAACTTCTCTTAGTGTTAATTCAACTTCTCTTAGTGTTAATTCAACTTCTCTTAGTGTTAATTCAACTTCCACTAATGTAAATTCAACTTTATTAGTGTTAATTCAACTTTTCTTAATGTTAATTCAACTCCCCCTAGTGTTAATTCAACTTTATTAGTGTTAATTCAACGTTATTAGTGTGAATTCCACTTTATTAGTGTTAATTCAACTCCCCTTAGTGTTAATTCAACTTTATTAGTGTTAATTCAACTTTATTAGTGTTAATTCAACTTTCCTTAGTGTTAATTCAACTTTATTAGTGTTAATTCAACATTTCCTTAGTGTTAATTCAACTTTATTAGTGTTAATTCAACTTTATTAGTGTTAATTCAACTTTATTAGTGTTAATTCAACTTTCCTTAGTGTTAATTCAACTTTATTAGTGTTAATTCAACTTTATTAGTGTTAATTCAACTTTCCTTAGTGTTAATTTCAACTTTATTAGTGTTAATTCAACTTTATTAGTGTTAATTCAACTTTTCTTAATGTTAATTCAACTCCCCCTAGTGTTAATTCAACTTTATTAGTGTTAATTCAACGTTATTAGTGTTAATTCCACTTTATTAGTGTTAATTCAACTTTATTAGTGTTAATTCAACTTTCCTTAGTGTTAATTCAACTTTATTAGTGTTAATTCAACTTTCCTTAGTGTTAATTCAACTTTATTAGTGTTAATTCAACTTTCCTTAGTGTTAATTCAACTTTATTAGTGTTAATTCAACTTTCCTTAGTGTTAATTTAAACTCCCTTAGTGTTAATCAACTAAAATAAAGTGTAAAAATAACACACCTCTGTGTGTTGTTTAGATAAATCAGGATAAGTGTTATCTGTTCACTCTCAAAATGTTAATATAATTCTCGATTTCAGGTTAAACAGGAACTTTGGTCCAGTGTGACTTAATTAACGTTTCCAAAAATGTTAAATTAACTCTAGAACAGATTGGACTCATATAAACCCTGAGAAAATGTTAAAATTGACTCTGTGAGTGTCAATTCAAAGACTCAAAAATGTAGTACAGTAGAAAGTACAAATACCCCGGCCCTGAGAAAAAATAAAATAAAAAATACAAATACAATATACAAAAATATAAAAATGTTAAATTTCTTCAAAAATGCCATGTTCATTTCTGAATACATTGTTTATACTTTAGACAATTTAGAAATACAGTAACTTAGACTTAGATGTAAAATTCTTTATTTGACTGGAGTTTCAATTAATTCTTTTAAATTTATTTGCATAAACTGTTTCCACACAGCCTTGATGTACGGAGGTAATTCAGTCTCATTATTATTCACAAATGCACAGAGGCTGATCACGGGTTTGTACAAGTGTTTTAATATCCACAAATGCACATTTAATATTTATAACTTGTATTTTGATCTGTACAAATAGATGTGCATTTGTAAATACATCTTTTTTCATTTGAAACATAATAAATAAATCAATAAATACATTTGTAAAACTGAAAATTCAGTTTGTAAAATGTGATTCGCATTTGTGGATCAACAATTACACAAATTTCCTCTGTGACATATTTTTTGAAAACATTCTTTTTGAGAAATTCACAAACACAGACAGATGCAGATGCACAGACGTCCACTAGAGGCGCTGTTGTTACAGGTGTAAAGTTAATAAGAGCCTGAGGTTTGTTAACAGATAGAAACATGTTGTAACGAATCATCAAGGAAATGATCTTGTAGATAATTCACTGATGTGACCAAAGCAAACCAAACATGCAGATCTGACATTAGTGAATTATCTACAACACAGATGTCAAACATACGGCCCGGGGGCCAGATCCGGCCCTCCAAGACCTTTAATGTGGCCCTTGGGTGATTTTCTACTCAAATATTTGAATGATATTTTCTATTAAAATGGTGTTAATTTTCTGTGGTGTTTATCACAGCAGCGTCTCCAGTGTCTCTGTACGTGGCCCCTCCCACCAGAGCAGCACAAATGAAGACTTGTCTCTTTCCAAACGCTCTTAAAGGACGATCGTTTTGACTGTTGACCGTGACACCCTCATCAGAAAAATGTCCAACATGAGAAAAGTGGAGCCGAGTGCAGGATTTTACAACAAAAATGGACTTTTTATTCTTATTTGCAAACAAGTTCATGTTAAAACTTTGTGTTGAAATTTAATTTTCCTTAAAGTTTCAGGTTGTTCATAATATTATAATATTTTGTAAAAGAAAGAGTTCATCAATTAAAAAAGATTTCTGTAATAGATTTGTGTTTCTCTGCACAAATATTTGAACTTATTGTTATATTTGGGGTTTATATGACATGAGTTTTCTGATCCGGACACTTTGGATCAAAGTCGGTTGGATACGGCCCCCGGACCAAAATGAGTTTGACTCACCTGATCTACACGATCAATTCCTTATTTATTATTAATTAGGACGTGTTGTTATGAAATGATTACATCTGTTATCATACCTCAGTCTTTTGTTAACTTTACACCTTTAACAACAGTGCCCTCTAGTGGACGCCTGTGTGTTTGTGCGTCTGTGTTTGTGAAATTCTCAAAAAGAATGTTTCAAAAATACGTCATGGAGGAAATGTGTGAATTTGTGTAATTGCTGATCCAATTTAAAACTGTTTACTGATGCTGATCTTGAAATGATTGTTTATTTCATCTCATTTAGATTTTTGTGATTCTCTTTGTTCTTGTTTTAACGCTTTTACACTGAAGCGGCTGCAGGTTTTGAACAGGAGCAAACAGACAAACACACGTCACAACAGTTTTTATCTTCACTGCTCTGGCTCCTGTTCAGTTCTGTGATGATTTTAAAATCTTGGTTTTATCTTACAGACGTTTAAATGGACAAGTGCCGAGGTACATCAGGGATTTACTGCGTCCACAGTGTTGGGGAGGAACAGATTACATGTACTGGAGTTACGTAATCAGAGTACAATGTATGAGTAACTGTATTCAGTTACAGTTACTGTTTCAGTGAGTGGTAATTGGATTACAGTTACTTTGTTGAAATAAATGGATTACACAACGGTATTTTCCCGTTTTCACATTTTGGGCTGTATCCCTCTTTTTTCTTTTTTTTTCTCAGTAATTCCACTCATTTCCGGAATCTAAACCAGGTCTAAACCAGGACTAAAACAGGACTGAAACAGACTTAAACCAGGTCTAAACTAGATCTAAACCAGGTCTAAACCAGGACTAAAACAGGACTGAAACAGGACTTAAAACCAGGTCTAAACTAGATCTAAACCAGGTCTAAACCAGGACTAAAACAGGACTTAAACCAGGTCTAAACTAGATCTAAACCAGGTCTAAACCAGGACTAAAACAGGACTGAAACAGGACTTAAACCAGGTCTAAACTAGATCTAAATTAGATCCAAAACAGGACTAAATCAGGACTAAAACCGGGTCCAAAACCAGGACTAAACCAGGACTTAAACAGGACTAAAACCAGGTCTAAAGTAGATCTAAACCAGGTCTAAACCAGGACTAAACCAGGACTAAAACAGGACTTAAACCAGGTCTAAACTAGATCTAAACCAGGACTAAACCAGGACTAAACCAGGACTAAAACGAGGACTAAACCAGGACTAAAACCAGGTCTAAACTAGATCTAAACTAGATCTAAAACAGGACTAAACCAGGACTAAAACAGGACTTAAACCAGGTCTAAACTAGATCTAAAACAGGACTAAACCAGGACTAAAACAGGACTAAACCAGGTCTAAAACAGTATTCAACAGGACTAAACCATGTTGCGTGGACGTGTCTCCTCCTCTTCTTCTATCAATAATATTTTTAATTTGGTTCAGTAAAATCTGGGCTTTTTATTTTCTTTTAACAGACAAAACTTCTTAAGTGAAGATTTCCTCGTCTTTGCTTTTCTACAGCAAATCAAGTAATCCAAAGTATTCAGATTACATTACTCACTTTAAGTAATCTAATGGATTACGTTACGAACTACATTTTGGTGTATGTAATCTGTAATCTGTAGGGGATTACATTTTAAAAGTAAACTTCCCAACACTGATTCTACACCTCAGGTCACAGCGTCCGGTCCTCAGGTCAGGGCCTCGTGATGGTCCCAACAGGGTGACCATATTTCCCTTTGTGAAACCAGAGCACCTCACCGGGGTCGGGGGGTCGGGGTCGGGGGGTCGGGGGGTCGGGGGTCGGGGAGGGGGGGTCGGGGGGTCGGGGGTCGGGGGGTCGACGTTGAGCTACTCTCACCTGGCAAAGCTGTGCCTGTTTTCTTCACTGTGCACATGGTCTCCTACTTGTCTCGACCCGGACAGAAAATGGGGATTTTTTTGTAGACGTCATCGTTAAATGTGCATTTGTGCTTCGCGTGTTGCAGACTGACCGACTGTTTGTGTCTGAGTGTCTGAGCTACGAGAGACGCTCAGTTTAATGACCCAATGAAAGATCAGGAAAACCCGGACATTTCGATCACTTAAAAAAACAAAAAAACAAACAAAAAACAAAAATGGAGGGAGAGGACAGGACGTGAAAAAGAGACACGTCCGGGGAAAAACCTGATTTAAACGTTTGTCTGTCTGCATCTGCACAGAAAAAAACTGGATGGTTAAAATTTCAGGGTAAATATTTCAGAGTTATTTTTAACACAAAATTTTTATTTTAACTATCTGAAAGTTAAATGGGGGTTGGAGTTGGGATTATTTGCCAGAGTTCATATGGTGGAAGTTATTTCAACTTCCCTTAGTGTTAATTTGGCTCCTCCCACCACCACTCCAAACTCCCGTGAGAGACGACCAGTTTTCACCACTTTTGTTCATAATTTGATCTTAAATTAACTCAAATAAAGTGTAAAAATAAAACACCTCTGTGTCTACAAAGTGTTTTCTGTTTACTCTCAAAACGTGAATATAACTCTTGATTTCGGTGGTAAACTTTGGAACTTTGGTCCAATGTTACTTAATAAACGTTTCCAAAAATGTTAAATTAACTCTAGAACAGATTGGACTCATATAAACCCTGAGAAAATGTCCAAATTGATTCTGTGGGAGTTGATTTTAATTTTAACACTCCGCTGTGTTGGGACCATATCTGTGTCTGTTGTTCGAGTTTCTGCCGCTCCTTTCTGCAGCCCATCACCTTCTCCGACCGGTTCTATCATAAGATCTGCTTTATTTTCTCTGTTTACTCTGAGCTGTGTTTGTTTTTCTTGGTTTCATAGTTCACATAGCTCCTCATATTTATTTACAGTTTTTATTTGATCATCTGTCAGCATCTTCCTCCTCCTCGTCCCTCGTCCGCCCTGCTGTGTTCTCATTGCCCCTGTCGGCAGGGCTGTGGGGCAGGGCTGTGGGGCAGGGCTGTGGGGCAGGGCTGGGCTGGGGACACTCCTTGTTCCTTTATGAGGAGTCATCTTCAGGTAATTACAGGTGTGTGCTTTTGTCTCCAGATCTTTTGTCTCTAGAGAATTTTTATAAACGTCTCAAAACAAACAGAGTTGTTTGTGTGACCTGGTGCGGTGCAGGAGTGGCTGCAGCCTGTTGTGTGTGTGTGTTTTAACTTAGAATTAAAAAAAAAAAGCTTTATTTCTGTCACCATTGAACAAAATTATATACACTGGGCTGATATTTGTATTTTAGTGCATCGTCTATCAGCATTAAGAATAATAACTGTTGTGTTTCAGATGACGTCACTGCACTTTAGGCCAATATTATTTAACACAGTTTAATAATAACCCAGCGCTGGGTCACTATTGCATTGTTTTGAAAAAAAAATTAATAAATTGGGTCACAACGTTCAGGTGGATCAGGAGAGATTTTTTTGGGTCGCCTTGTCATGATTTGCATGTAGGTTTGAAATACACATACATCTCCTCCGCTCCTCACTTTTTCTCCGTGCACAGAATCTCACTTTTTCGTCAGCACCGTCTTTACCGAACCAATTTTGTGTAGGAAAAACTGATGATTGTTTTTCACTGTTTTAAAACTTGAGTAATACTAAATATTCAGAGAGACACGATCAGTCAGTCAACGATAAAATATCCTCATTCATGTTCAATAATGATCACATCCACATTTATTTTTTGATTTACGAATAATGTTTATTGACTCGAGACGTGAAGATTTGTGACTTTTAAAATATGAGTCCCCATAAAAAAAAAAGGGAAACACTGCAGTATTGGACCAACACAACTCTGGAGTATTTTGACCCAGCAGTTTGGTTTATCATTTTAACACAACTTTTTGGGTTATTTTTTCTACTCAGTTCTGGGATGTTTTTTTACTCGTCTGCCGGGTTAATTCTACTCAATACATGGGTTAAATCAGACATGTCAAACTCAAAATGTAGCCTGATATATAATTATATTTGGCCCACAAGATCATATCAAATCTGTATTATACCGGTCGTACACTGTGCGATATTTTCGGTCGTGTCACTCAGCCCCAGCTTAAACTGTACGACCAAATCACAGGGTTTAACAGTTCACAGCTCACGAATCATGTTCTCACACTGAACGAACCGATGCTCGGACGCGACTTGCCTGCTCACACTGTACGTTCACATAACGACCGGAGTTGTCAAAGTTGTTGTTCCGGAAGTAGAAAACCACAAAGAATTAGAAAACCACAGATGCGGAGACACAATGCTGAGCCACTTCTGCGTCCGCGCATGCTCAGTCTGCCAGATTCTGGCAAATCGGCTCGTGGAACAACTTCAACAGAGCGAAATCCTCACGAGAGGCGACTGGATTTCAAACAAGTTTGATTTTCTTGCGACCTACGAATGTCGATCGGGAGCTGGTCGTGAGTCATTAATCGGTTTTCTTTACCCCATGTAAACTACACGAAGCACGACACACGATGAAGCCAAAACTCAGCCCGATCCCCAAAACAGTCGCACGAGCGAAAAATCGGCTCAACAAGGGTCAAAAATCGCACAGTGTACGACCGGCCTTAAGAGCTTCCCACCAGCTACAGCAGGAGTATCCAGCCGACTTTGATTCCAAAGGGGCCGGATCAAAAAACTCATGTCATATAAACCCCAAAAATAACAATAAGTTCAAAATTTGTGCAGAGAAACACAAATCTATTACAGAAATCTTTTTTAATTGATGAACTCTTTCTTTTACAAAATATTATAATATTATGAACAACCTGAAACTTTAAGAAAAATGCAATTTCAACACAAAGTTTTAACATGAGCTTGTATGTAAACAAAATCCTGCACTCGGCTCCACTTTTCTCATGTTGGACATTTTTCTGATGAGGGTGTCACGGTCAACAGTCAAAACGATCGTCCTTTAAGAGCGTTTGGAAAGAGACAAGTCTTGCTATGCTAAGAAAATTACCAGTATTTTAATAGAAAATATAATTAAAATGTTTTAGTAGAAAATCAGCCGAGGGCCACATTAAAGGTCTTGGAGGGCCGGATCTGGCCCCCGGGCCGTATGTTTGACACCTATGGGCTACAGAGACATTATTTATTTAAAATTTTGTTATTATTTTATATTCTGCTTGTTCTGGATTCAATGTTTAAGCAAAACTATTATTAAACATTTATTTTAATAAGAAAAGGTTTAAAATTACAATTCTCGAAAGAAGAGAAAACATGCAGAAATTTTTCAATAAATATTTAGTTTGGCCCACGACTTAGTCCCAGTTTTTAATTTCTGCCCTCTGTGGATTTGAGTTTGACACTCCTGGTTTAAATGTTTATTTGTTGTTCCAGTTTTTTTTATGAAAATCTTTGTTTGCGAGACAAACACGACTTTAAAACACATTTTTTATTTCACACATTGAGGCACAGTGGCACTTTTTAATTGGAAGCTGCTTGTCCCTGGAGGAAAAGGGAGACAATAACAAATTACATTTTAAATTGACTTTGTGCAATAAATATGGTGCAATATCTGTTTTAGAATGTTTTAAGTGTTGATGTGTTTAGTGTATTTTATTGTGTTTTAATGAATGGTGTGAATCTGCTTTTACTTACCTCCCCTTTTTATCTTCTGTCCAGGTGTGAAAAGAGTCCCCCGGAAACGAGCTCCCTCTTTTATGGTTCCGGGCTGGACCACGTGTAACATTTTGTACAGGGGTTTTAGGTTTGGTGTTTTATTGGTTTATGGGTTTTAACATTTAATTGGTGTAATGGTTTTA